GAGACTTAAGCTGGCAATTGCACTTCTTGCTGTTTTAGCTATATCACTGGCAATTCTTGGAATCATTGCAGTTTATAAACTGAGAAAAATGAGCAAAGAAGGGACTGATTCTGAGCTGGGGGGAGGAGGGAGTTCATCAGGCTCCTGGCAATTTATCCCATTCCAGAAACTCCATTTCACAGTTGATGATGTTCTAAAATGCCTGGTTGAATCCAATGTCATCGGAAAAGGCTGCTCCGGGGTTGTTTACCGGGCAGAACTCAGCAATGGCGAAGTGATCGCAGTCAAGAAACTATGGCCGAGCTCTCTAGCGAGTGGCTACGCCAATCAGTTTGGTATCAGTGCATATATCAGGGACTCGTTTTCAACCGAGGTGAACACTCTTGGCTCGATCCGACACAAGAACATTGTTAGATTCCTGGGATGCTGCAGGAACCAGAATACGAGGTTGCTTATGTATGATTATATGCCTAATGGGAGCCTGGGGAGTGTGCTTCATGAGAAGAGTGGGGGATGCTTGGAATGGGAGTTGAGGTACAAGATTGTTCTTGGCTCAGCTCAGGGCCTGGCTTATTTGCACCATGATTGTACTCCCCCCATTGTTCATAGAGACATCAAGGCCAATAACATCCTAGTTGGTCTTGATTTTGAGCCCTACATTGCGGATTTTGGGCTTGCAAAGCTTGTTAGTGATGGAGACTTCGCCAGATCCTCCAGCACCGTAGCCGGATCTTATGGATACATCGCACCAGGTTAGCTAGAATTCTAAATTTTATACACAAAAGGGTAACCCCAACCAAATTGCTTAAGCGGTTGGATTGATAATCACATGTTTTATGTTAGTCTTCTTAGTTTAAATCAGTCAATTATGAGCATTATAAGTTGGTTTACCTAGTTTGCCATACCAAGTTGGTTAGGTGGTTGACTCAGTGACTTCGAGTGCGACCACAAGTTTCAAGTTTGACTCCGAGTGGGCCATAGTTACAACCATAGTTAGACTGGAACTCATGACTCTGATACCAAATTGAAACATGTGTTCGATCTCAACTAAAAGTATAAGTTAATAGTTGGATTGCACATTAATGATTATATGCTCAACAGTAATCACAACTTTTAAGTTAAACTCTCGTAAGAGTAGCCTTGAGCTAATCATGGACAATTTAAACTGATTTACTTCTTTGTCATGCCAAGTTGGTTAGGCAATTGTTAGTATAGTAATTATTTTAAGTTTGACTTTCAGTAGGAGCGACCTATTAGTGTTTAAGTTAATTAACTATGAATCATTTAAGCTTGTTTACATCATTCTGATTAGTTACCAATTAAAATCGTGATTTACCTAATGTACATTCTCGCTTAATCACAACGAGTTTATATGCTAATTGAAAAATTTTAAACACAAAATGTAGACATTTTGACAGCTTGTACTTACATAATTCAATTGTGAGTCGCAGAGTACGGATACATGATGAAAATCACAGAGAAAAGCGACGTTTATAGCTACGGGGTGGTGGTTCTGGAAGTGTTAACCGGCAAACAGCCCATAGATCCGACGATCCCCGACGGGGCTCACATAGTGGATTGGGTACGGCAGAAAAGAGGCGGCGTGGAGGTTCTAGACGGCAGCCTTAGGGCCAGGCCGGAATCGGAGATTGAGGAAATGATGCAAACCCTAGGCGTGGCGGTGCTGTGTGTAAATCCTTCCCCGGACGACCGGCCAACCATGAAGGATGTGGCGGCGATGCTCAAAGAAATAAGGCAGGAGAGAGAGGAGGCGTTGAAAGTTGAGGACATGCTCCTCCTGAAAGGGTCGTCGGAAGGTGATCAGAATAAGAGCTGCGGCGGCGGCGGCGGAGGGCCGTCGGAGAAAATGCAGAGCTTGTACTTGCAGAGTAATAATACGAGCTTTTCTGCATCCTCATTGTTGCATTCTTCGTCGTCTAATACCAGCAGGCTTGGGTTTAAATAGACTATAGAGATTGCTGATCAAACAGATGAATATATTGAAGTTGTTGTTCATTTTAATTACTTGGTTGTTCAATGTTTTAGTTCATTTCAAGAAGATGAATCATAGTGTGAATTTCAAGTTTAAGTATACTTAGCAATTTAGTATACTATATGGCCCATACAGATGATCTAGGTATTGGGCAGGGCCAGGTCATGTCTAAGTACCCGATGACTGGGGATTATTGGACAGAGGTCGGTAAAGTTCTTAGGGCTTAACATTTATCTCGAACAATGTGATGGTGAAAGTAAAGAAATAATTTACTTCTTCACTACTAACTATAACTTTTGGCCAACAATTAAAATTGATTGGAGCAATTGTTAGGCATGACCGGTAAAGGGGTCATGTCTAGTACCGCAAATTATGCCATGGAATCGTGTTCACCGAGAATGGTGAACACAAGGTAAAACGACGTCGTTTTTAGGCAAAATAAAAAAATAAAAAAATCGCGGATGTGGAGTTAACGACGCGCGTTTGATCAAATTATGAATTTTCTGTTATGAGATTATGAATTTTCATAATCTCATAACAGAAAATTCATAATCGCATAACAGAAAATTCATAATCGCATAACAGAAAATTCATAATCGCATAACAGAAAATTCATAATCGCATAACAGAAAATTCATAATCTCACAACAGAAAATTCATAATCTCATAACAGAAAATTCATAATCTTATAACAGAAAATTCATAATCTCATGGTTCCAAAGTGAATGTGTAGGCATGGTTCCAAAGTGAATGTGCAGGCATGGATTCATAATTTATGAATGTCCGTGATTTCGGACGGGAATATGTAGGCATGGTTCCAAAGTGAATGTGCAGGCATGAATTCATAATTTATGAATGTCCGAAATTATGAATGTAATGAAAATTCATAATCTCATAACAGAAAATTCATAATCGTATAACAGAAAATTCATAATCTCATAACTGAAAGTTCATAATCTCATAACAGAAAATTCATAATCTTATAACAGAAAATTCATAATCTCATGGTTCCAAAGTGAATGTGTAGGCATGGTTCCAAAGTGAATGTGCAGGCATGGATTCATAATTTATGAATGTCCGTGATTTCGGACGGGAATGTGTAGATATGGTTCCAAAGTGAATATGCAGGCATGAATTCATAATTTATGAATGTCCGAAATCTTTGTTCACCTCAAATTAAAATGAAATCGCAAAATGTGAAAATAAAGAAGAAAAGTCACGCAATTAATTAAGAAAAAAAAAATAACGGTGTACTAACACCGTTGGAACCGTGTTCACCATTCATGGTGAACACAGTTCCATGGCATAACTTCCCGTCTAGTACTCAATGATGAAGAAGATTCATGTCTACTATTCAAAGATGCATATTGGTACGTTTTTTTTTTTTTTTTTTTTTTTTTTTTTTTTTTTTTTCTAGTACTACTGAGTCTATATGCATATTGGTACGGTAACCCGTCTATTCTTCCATTTAAAAAGTATAAAAAAAACAATAGAAAGCATGAAGTACGGAAAGCAAGCATTGTGGTGGGTAGCAAGAATCGTCAGTCTTTATCTCCATCAAAAAGTGGGCGTTTGCGTCAACATTGTTATCTTAGTCGTATTTGTATGTTTTCTCGTACACACGCAAACTCAAATCCCTTTTAGGGTGTAAGATTTATCCACAAACATAAAAAAGGAAAAAAAAAAAAAAAAGTCAAAAATTACAAAGTGAGTAGCAAAATCTATGGTTTGAAACTTTGAATGTTGGCAAATTAATCTGTGAATTCAGGTCCACTTTGTGATTCCGTATCAAAAGATACACAATTTACTTTTTACAAATTCACAATTTGTGATTATAATGTATTATATTCTCAAAATTTTAAAACTTAGAAATACAATTTATATTCAAGATATTCACTATTTCAATACTAAAAATGTACAATTTAAGACTAGGATCCACCTTGTAAGGTGATCATGGTATAACAACGGTTGAATGTCGAGTATGGTTCTTGAATTTAAATGCAACAAATAGATAGGATTGTATACGAGTCAATCAATCTCGGCACATGATTGAATAATCATATTTAGGTACATCTATTGCATAATAATATTATTAATTATTGTAGGGTTCGGGCTACTATTATTAGTTACCGTTCCAAAACTCCTTACATTAATAAACTCGCCGTCATTTACAAAGAGAAGATATTAACAAAAATCAAGTTCGTAACATTTAGACCTAATAATCATACTTTGATTCGTTATCCCGATCATGATTTTCCTACCCAGGGGAAAGGTACTTCCCTTTTGGGCCGGTTGTGGGCTAAGAGGGATTTGAACCCCCGATACCATGGTTCGTAGCCACATGCTTTAATCCCCTGAACTACAGGTCCCCGTCTCTACTGGATTCCTGTGAGTATCCTCACAAAAGGAACCTTTCCTCTCCCCGACCATTTCAGATGTGAAAGCGCGTTTAACTCTACAAGAACAGCGCGTTCTAACCAAGTATCGTAAGTAAATTGCTCCCGGTTGTTCAACCATTAGATAACCAAGAGTCATTATTTGATAAATGATCACTATGAGTTAGACTCAACATAATTCTTTTTTCTGTCTTAAGACGGAGAGCTGAACCAAGAATTTTCTTTCTTCCTCATGAATCACTGTTCGTGACCAAGGTTCTATTTTATCATCAATCCAATCCCGTTCACGTTTTTTCTTTTTCTTATCAATGAATAGATCTCTTTACTTGTATAACTTAGATGTCTCATATTTATAAAAAATGCCATTTGATGGAAAATAGAAAGAGATTCTTTAACCGCTGACACCTTAGCTAGCCGCTTCATGATTTGATAAAATAAGCATGCACCCAAAAAACACAAAAATGTAAACGTTGCATAATAGATCAACACTTGATATATATATATATATATATATATATATATATATATATATATATATATATATATAGTTAAAAGTAGAGTGGAGTGGCGGGCGGCGGAGCAAATTAAACAGCCGGAATTGAAGTAGAGTGTCCCATATATCCAACACTTAATTGATGGATCATTGTCTATATATATTTGGGGGCTGAATTTGATGCTAGTTATCAGGCAGGCCTAGCTTAGCTTCAAACTACTTACAACAACAATACTGCACCTTGAAAACTGGCCGGGTAGGTTTACAAAATGATCACATATATATGCATGCATGCACGCTTGAAGTTACAAGTTGCAGCAAATTATTTATACCACTTGCATTGCTTGCTGTAGTATATGATCATGGAGCTGATCGAGGAGGCGGCGGCGCTCGAGTTCCGGTGGCCGGGAGGCCGGCCGTTCAGTTCACTGTTTGTTTGATGAGTGAGATGGCCGGAGAGGTGGCGGTGGCCGGTGACGATGGGGGCAACGTGCGAGGGTTCTTCCTTGCCGGTTTCTTGCCGTCTGATCTTGCTCCATGCTGCCGCACTTTTACTCCCCGGATCAACTGCAATTTTATCCATTTTTTAATTCAAATATTTCTCTTTACATGAAAGAGGAAAATGACCATTTTGAACCATATTATCTCCCCGTCAATCATAGGTAGAACTGTCAAAACGGGCTAGCCCGGCCCATATGGGCTGGCCCATCTCAGGTTCATCCCGAAACGGGTTGGCCCTTTTTACAAGAGTTGGGATTTTCTGTTTAGGATGTGTGGATGTTCTTATAATTGAGGGCGAAAATATACTACATCAAATAATTCAGGGGTTAAAAGTGAAATTTAATTTCTAATACGACCTTATAAAACAAGTAGAATGGACTATGGACTATATATGTTTCCCTATATATATATATATATATATATATATATATATATATATATATATATATATATATATATATATATGACGTTATATCACATTACTACTAAAGCTAGTGTAAAAGAAGAATGGAATGGAAGTTTTCTTACATATTTTCCACATTTCATGTCAGCATATATCACAATGAAATCCCCTTCCTGAAGTCCATTGGCCCGCACAAAATCACCTGTAAAGATGAAGCCAAATCAGACTTCAGACCAAGCTGATTGCTAGCTCGTATTTAAACATTAATTAACGATATATTGATCTGTGTAACAAAAGGTTAACCTGTGTTTTCGAGAAGGTACATCCTGCTTTTATTGTTTGGCCAAAACCTGGGGAAATCAAAATAGAAATCGAACAATTTGTAAGACATTGAATTAAGCTCGGCTTGCACGCACAACATATGTGTATAGTATATTTGTAGTGTTTGATGATAATTTTATACCTATACTTCATGTTCCACACGCGAGAAGTGCCAATGTCTTCCATGGCAATGGAAATTCCATCTCTCGAATCAAGTTCGGGAAGTTGAGTTTCTGCCTCTTTCTGCATAGCCAATACAATCAGCAACTTAGGTGGCATTCGGGCAAATAAAATTCATCATATTGTAAAAGAACTATAAATTGGATGTTACATTTAATTGAAGTGATTCTAAAGCAATGAAAACATAGTATTGGAATAGGATTATGTTTCATCATCATTAATATATGCTAATATGACTGCATATATAAAAAACACAATTGATGGAAATTCATATTATACCTTTGGCAGCACAATTCTTCCAAGACTGCCAACATCGCTCTGCTTCAACACTTTTTGCAACAAAAATTTCAAATTCTTCTCTGGTTTAGAACCCTAATGAAGATACATATAGTGTTCAGTTGATATCACATCAAACATTCTAGCAAGCTATACATTTTTTTTTTAGTGACACTAGCCACTACATTAGGGCTCATCCTGTATTGTGACGCTAGCCTGCAAAGGATCAATAAACCAACTTAGGCAGCCACTACACTAGAGTGTGGACTGGGAACCGGGTAAATCCCCTTTACGACCCTAGTCGAGCTGACGGGTTAGGCTCGAACCAAGGCAAATTGCCCATACCTGATGGGCTGGGCTCAAACCAAACCAAGTCGCTCACACAGCCCGTGGTGGGGCGGACCTAATGGGTGGCCCGGCCCGGCCCGCACTGACACCCCTACCCACCAGGGTTGAACTAGCAATCTATACTTAATGACAAACTAACATGTATTCACCTGTCGTCGGTCCGATGAACTTTGCTTCTGATGGTTCTGTTGTTGCGCCGGAGGTGGTTGAGGTGCGGCCTCAGCTGGTGGAAGAACCACCATTGGCGGCGGAGCTTCAGAAGCTGCCGGAGACCAGTAGACCCAATTCCCTAGATTGCTAACCTGATGGGGCAGTACTGTATCTACGCCCATTCTCATTGCATGGTGAGGGTCGTAGTTCTGGGCGTGATGGTGGTGATTATTGTTATGGTGGCGGAAATGGTGGCTAGAGAGTCTTCTCTGCCGCGCCATCCTCTTCTTCCTTGCTTCTTTAGTTGCAGAGGACCCCAATCTCATCAACCTCTCGCCATTCCCGTCGTAAAGCTGGTAAGGATATTCGCTTCCGTACAAAGCCTGGGGTTGATGACCAGATTCCGCCGCTATTCTATTGTTATTGTTATCAGGATACGGATTGAACGACGGAGCTGCGGCGGCAGCGGCCATAAATTCAGACGACTGCCAAGATTGAGCGGTGTCCACGGCGGCGGGCTGATGGTATTCTGTTGGATGAGAAAAATGGCCACTGTTCACGTGCATAGGAGTGAAGGAAGCACCGCCGCCACAGTTATAAGGATCTCCGATATTACTGTACCCAATAGCATGCGGCTGGAAAACGGGAAACGGCGGCTGCGCTGCCGCCATCATGGCGGCGTTATTTGCGTCTGGGATGTAAGGTGGCGGCGGCGGGGGAGTCCATGGAGACGGAAAGAAACAACTGGGTGCAGTGTCTGTTGGTTGGAGAAATGTTTCTGCTTGAAAGTGACCGCCCCCGCCGGTTGATTGATGATCGGAGGCGGCGGCGGCCGCCGCCGCCGCTTCTTCTCGGCTGTTCTTCTTCTGAAGCTGGTATTGTTGAACCCACTCAAGTATGAGCTTCAAGAGCTGCTTCTTTCCTTCCTTTGAGCTTCCAAGTCGCTTCGAAGCGCTCTCGATCGTCGAACGTTTGAGTTTAATGTTCCTCATATCTTCCGCAGAAATGCAATCTTTATTCTGCTTCAACCAATCGAAGAATATCGCCGCCAGCTCGCCGTTCCCCTGGAGAAAAGACAGGTCCGCCGTTTCCGCCGCCTTTGAATCGTCGTCTTCTTGGTTTTGTTGCAGTTCTTCGAACTGAGATCTCGCCGCCGCCGCCTGCGGCGGCGGCGGCGGCTGATCCTCTTGAAAATTCTCTGTCTGAAAAATGGATATGGGGTCCCAAATATCGTCCCCGTTTATGAAGTCCATGTACCCCAAATTCTCCATGACATTGATGCAATCGTCGTCGGTGAAGCTGTCTTCAGGCGGCGGCGGAATGCCGCCGGAGGGGTCCATGGAGGCGCTCGGCGTCATGGCTGCTGCACAGCCTGTTTGAAGGTGGAATTTTTTGGCGGCGGGGTCTTCTTCCCCGTCGGATTTTATCACTGCCCATGAGGCGGCGGAGGAGGAGGAAGACGACGCCGAGGAAGAAGACGACGGCTTTACTACGCCGGCGGGGACGGAGGATGTGGAGGAAGATGACGACATGCATGGGAAATCCGGGAGAGGAGGGAAGTCATTTACATCAAGATGCTGTTCTTCATCTACGCTCTCGAGCCAGATCTCCATGGGATCAAAATCGCCACCTTCGCCGCCGTAAATTTCCTCCGTCGTCACCGCCTCCACCTCTCCGCCGCCGCCGCCGCCCGTTGCATGCAGATCTTGAATGTCACCATCCTTATCATATTCCCTCTTCATTTTCTTGACTCTTCCAGCCAATAATACAGTATTCTAAGTACAACACCAAAAATTAAACTATCAAAAAACTCATAAATTTCCCCTTCAATTCGCAGAATCGCAGGTTTAATTTTCGATGTTTACTAAGAAGAAGAAATTTTATTTTCTATAAAGAATAACACATATAGATAGATAGATAGATAGATAGATAGATAGAGATAGAGAGAGAAAAAGGAAACAGTATACCAAACAGCTGCGTACGTACGGATAAGGAGATCAGATGGGGTTTGTTCTGATCAGAGATTAAGGAAGCAGGTTAACTTCAAAGGGGCAGACTTTCTCTCTCTATATATTCCCACTATAATACTATATCTATCTAGTGGGATTTGCCACATAAAGCATCTGGGTAACTCTAATCCAAAAGGAAGAAAACCCCATCTCCCCATACCCTTTACTAATGAATACGGACTAATCCACAATTTTTTTTTCTCTTCCTCAAATATTATCTACTAAACCAGCAAACTAAATTGGTATGTATAGTAATCCACAATTTTATTTAGAAAGATTAGTTTATATAAAGATTATATATTTGATTTTTACTGATATCTTTATTCTCGAAATACGAGGTACTTATATAATTTATAACTACTATTTAAAGATATACACATTGTAAATTTTTGCTTTTACAAAAAAATAAATTAGTCTAGTTATCAATTGCTAATTGAACTCAGGCATAAATCAACTTAGGGCGTGTTTGGTTTGCACATAAGAATCGGAATCGAAATGGGTATCAAATACTTGGTAACGGTAATGAGTTTTGGTGAAAGTATTTAACATGTTTGGTAGTACAATGGAATGAGAATGGTTACTAATAGTAGTGCTTGAGAATGAATAAGGGAATGAAACCCTTATTTTATTTGGGTATGTGTTTTTCGATTGATGGGGTATTCAAAACTCATAGTAGTGTTCTAATTAAAAACCTATCAACCAAACAACAACATTCACTTTCATATCCATTGCTATGGACAAAACCAACCAACCAACCAAACACACCCTTAAATTGTTCAAAGCTAATTGACTTAAATAAACAAAGTTAATAGATTATTCAGAGGTTAAATTTGTAATTTTGTAATTATCAAACTAACGTCGAGTGTTCTGAAGTAACTTTTTTAAATGAGAGCTCATGGGTTCAAACCTCAATTAGAGCGGTTGACTCTTTATATTTCAATAAGTTAAAAAATTATACTTAAACAATTGTTATATTGTATCAGAACTAGTAGTACTAGAAAAAACTTAAATGTGTATGTATATAGTATATTGAATTCTTACCATATATGGTTAAAAAAAAAAAAAGTATTGATATGATGGTTGTTAATTAGTTGTCGGCGTAATAATGTATACGGAAAATTTGGGTTTGGATATACGGATATGGTAATGTATTACGTACATTATTGACTGGCATGATAAGCAATAAGTTTTACATGCAAGCTAAGGAGATAGAAAATGATAATTTATAAAGTGTAAATAAAAGAATTGAAAGTGGATAATATATGGAAATAGGGAAACCAGGCGGAAGAGCAAAAGCTGGTGCCGCTGGTTTGGGATACTTATTCCCGGGTTCTACGCCACAGTCCATACGTTCTCACCCCACTGGTGATCCCAGCGGTGCCGCAGGCGATCAATGAACTCACCACCTTAATCAATTCTTTTATTCCCAACAAAGTTTGAAAACCAGATTGCAAGCTGGTAGCTCCATTATCTGTCCAATAATCCATGTGAAAATGGCGCAACTAAGTTAGCTTCCTAAACACAAAGTCATAAGTTAAATTTCTTATGAAAATTGTATATTAACTTTCTTGATTTGAGTTGATCAGTGAATAACTTAAATTGATGTTGGGCAAAGTAAAAGGTTAAATATATTTAACAATGGGTGATTAGGGGATTGTTGAGCAAAAGTTGACGAATTAAAGGACCTCGTCTAGTACCTTGCATTTTGAAAATGTGGTAACGTGGTATATAAGAAAATAAAATTGCTCATTCTCTGTGGGCTATAGTTATAGGCCTAATTGTATACGCTTTAACAAGTGGTATTAGAACTAGGTCACGGGTATGTGATGTGAAGGAGAATTGTTCTAGACCGGTAAATGGTCAAATTCAATAATTTTTGGTGGCTTGGCTAATGGCTAGGAGGACTGTTGGGCGGAGGCAGATGTAGGGTCAAGTACAACATCTCTAAAATGTGGTAGTATATAGGAAATAAAATTGTATGTGCATTTTGTGAGTTTATGATTTTTGACATAGTGATAATCCTTAAATGTTAAAAACTAGTTTATTTCGTTATAATTTTTTATTAACTATGATCACAATTCACAACATAGAATTTATTCAGTACATATCCTTAAATAGTGACGGGAATTATTTTTTTTAAAAAAAAAGTCCATGTGGAAATGGTAAAATGGAGTAAAAACAGGGTGGCGTTGAATTGCTTAGTTCAGAGGGCTTGTCGCCATTCGTGGGCGAAGCGGCGAGGATCGGTTCCTCTCTCTACGTGTCGTTTCGCCTCTGACGTACGTTACCCGTTTAGCAAAGAGAGCTCCAAAGCCTGTCTGGCCCGCTTTTTCTCGCCCAATGGCTACGTCCGCCATTAACTCCGCGCTCAATCGCCAAGCGGCGGATACCAAGACGGAGTTAAAGTTTATTCAACGGAGTTTTATACGTCTCTCCGTTTCCTTTCCTTTCCACCGCTATGCCCTTTTTAGCTCGTGCGTGCGTCGTCGTCGCCGTTACGTTCCGTTGGGCGTATTGGAGTGTATATATTGCATCTATCATGCATGAACTCATTCTAGCTCAACGCCAATTAGCCAATTCTATGCCCGTCTATAGCTCAATCATGAACGTTACAATGTAGTGTACTCTACTATATTATACTATTTAATTTAATTATCACGTGAAACCAAAAATAACATAAAGTATAATAATTAAATTAAAAGTGGATGGATGCATATGGATGGCTTCGAAATTTAGAGTATTGGTACGTATATGATGATGGAATATTGACAATTGGCTTAATCGAGTCGGTCCACCGCTCCAACTTAACAATATGGACGAATCCACGAGAACTAATTAAATCAGTACATGTGTGTCTTCTAACTAATGTGAACATTAGTTATTGCATTCACACGGGAATTATTTTGTTGTTATGTGAGCGATGAGATGAGACAGTATTAGTGCGTTACGATATGGGCGAACCCTCAAGAACTAATTAAATCAGTACATGTGTGCCTTCTGACGAATGTGAACATTAGTTATTGCATTCACACGGGAATTTTGTTGTTATGCGAGCAATGAGATGAGACAGTGTTAGTGCGTTACATTAGAGTCACTGATCTTTTGATTATGTTTAATAATGTTTTTCTATGTGTTGTACTTAACACTAGTATAAATGATAGTCCCTTTACAGTTTACATTGATGCTATCATATTCGGTTTTATGCTATGTTTGGCAAACCTAGGTGAAAAAGTAGCTGATAAGTTATAAGCTCTGACAAATAAAGCTTAGACGTTTGTATTGTGATGTTACTTTGTCATTTCAGCTACAAACTCTTGTACTTTGATTACTTAACACTTAAGCTAATAATATAGTAGAGTCGGATTGTTTAAATTTGAGTATTGTTTTTAACTCACTTTCTTTAGATCTTTCCTATATCAGTTTGGTTGTTAATACGCAATGTTATATGGTTGCTAGGGATATCAGGAACGTTTTTGTTCACCATATCAAGAAGTCACCAGCGAATCAAGTCGTTCATGTACTTGGAATCTTCCCCTTGATCACAAGCCAAATTAAATGAAAATCTTGACCTTCTCTATGAAGTTGATTTAATTTGCCAGATCCAAGTGTAGTCCTCCTCCTCTTCAATATCATCACCTGAAATCGACTGGTTCCTCGTATGTTCTAGGTTCGTGAGTATCTTCCCGACCTCCTTGTATTTTTAACTTCTTTAGATTAAGGATTATTGATTTTGTAATTACTTCAAAAAAAAAAAAAAAAGAAGCTAATAATATTGTTAATCATATGAGCGAGGCTACATATTATTTAACACCCATAAAATATTTGTTGATAAAAACAAGAGCAAGAAAGCATTAACACATACATAAAAATAAGAAAAAGATTTAGCAGTTTGACTATTGCTTACGTCCCTTACGAGAGAAGAATATCTTTTATTGATTTTGATGATAATACTAAAAATTCATAATTACAAACATCATATTTATAGATAACTTTACGATAATTTACAAAATTACATCAGTACTATATCATCAGGCACTACCCCTACACCCCCATTCAGTGAATCCAGTTCAGGTTCAAACATGAAGATCGACAGATGTTTTCACTTAGTTTTGCTTCGCTCGTCTCTGCTCTATTAAACTCCAACACCTATCATCTCTTAATAATATATGAGACACAATAATATTATTGATGGGCGTAAAAATGTACCCAACTGGGTGATGACATCAGTTCAATCGGTCAGCATAGGCAGCCAAACATATGCACATACAAAGGGGAACACCACGATCCTGGGAGAAAATTGAGGATTGCACTTACCATTTAGCACTTGCTTTCCTTTAGTAAATTATCTTATTTTGGTTTTGAAAATAATTTAATTAATAAAATTTTAAACAATTCGAGAATTAAATTAATTGAAATTAAAAATTACTCTAGTAACTATATTAACAGTTTAAAAGAAATTGAGGGATTTGATTAACTCTAAAATTTATATGCGCATTATATTTTTCTACACAATATTGCTCTTAGTGTGAACACACGAGAAACGGTACGTGCGGCGTTGAATTCAAGAAGTTAGAATTTGGCGTAGTTGATGACGACGACCAAAAAAAAAAAAAAAAAAAAAAAAAAAACGTATAATTATAAAGGGTTAAATTCATTGGGTTGATGCCGGGGTCCCGGATAGAAATTTAAATCCGTTTTTCCAGCTGTCATCGTGCCACGCGGCAGCCATGCAGCCAAAGATGACATGCAACTGTAACAGTTCATCGTGACGACAACGTTACAGTATAGTCAAAACAGAGAGCTTCTCTCTTACGGACCACTCTTTAAAGTCTTCACTATAATCCTTAGGAGAGCTTATGGGCTTGGGCTTCTTGGTCGGAGTTAGTAGGCTTGAATAGATTGAGTTTGTTTTTAATGGGCCTATTGGCCTGGCCCAAATCCACCAATTAATCTCATTCAGACACCTGACGAGACTAATGTAAATTCATGTTTTGGTCTGCCAAAAATGGTCCTTTCATACATTATGATTGTTACTACAGTTTAATGTAAGATCAAAAAGTAAATAAAGAAAATGATGCTTTTAATATTTCGAATAATTGATTTATGGGGTGTTTGGTTGTTAGTTGATTAGATTAGTGGATTTGATTTTTTTTTTTTTTGAATGCTACTGACTCTATTACATTGTAGTATCTGTGCACAATTGAATCATTTCTTCCGCTTTAATATATATAATATATATGTTATTTTTTGTTTGATTGGTTTGGCAATCGCTACTCGAATGTACGCTTTAGGTAAGTCGTTCATTTTTTTGTGGCTCTAAAAGACCAATGAGGTAAACAACAAATTATACCATGAATCATTAAACGAAATGACATTCACATTATACGTACATGTCATTTACATATTATGTGCATGTACTTAACATAGTATGTGTCCTAGTGCAATATATAATATTTTAACTGCGTATACAATTTTTTCACTAAAGTCCCCAATGTAAGATGGACCATTGTCTACGGTATAACATACAATGGGAGGTAAACCAGGTTGACTTATACTAAACATTGCTATCTTTGGTTTAGCCTGTAATTCTCAACCGCTACCAAAAGTGCACTTGAGAGAAGTTAGTATTGTAACCCTAATCAGCAAAGTGGTTTACTCATAATTGATCAGTTCATTACCAAAATTAACCATATGACCAACTTTGCTGGTTTTCGCAGTACTATATGCTACCTATATATGCGGGGAATATAGAATTAGTAAGTGTACTATCTAGCTAGCTATACGTACATCATCCGTAGCGGAGGAAGCCTGATGTTTGATATCCAATTGGCATGGCCGCTTCACCGCCTTGTTTCGCCACGTCAGCTCCTTTCTTGACCGTGGTTCCATGGCGCTTGCCAATTACCTGCTTTAATTTGCACAAAATTTTATTTTTATGTAGAGTATAATATATTTATATCCGATCTAAATATAAATATAAAAATTAATAAGTGTGAATGAAAGTTATACTCTAATTATTATTGTATAATTATACAATAATAATTACAAGTAAAATGTATTTCAAAAAATTATAGGTAAAGTGCACTGAAGATGTTGCACTTGTAAATGACAAGCAATACACGTGATAGTGTTGTGGAGTGCACTTAAAGTTTGAGATAATTATTAAAATACTATTGCACATTTTTTACTTGCTTCCCTTGATATTCCCAAATAGATGGATATATATATTGTTCTCATTTCTTTCTTGAATGCTGAACGATCTCACTTGAGTGTCCCCTAATATATACACATACCACACATACACAACACAACCATACACATGCAGTGTTATATATGGTATATAGTTGGGTTGTGGATGATGGTTTGAATTTCACAGGCACACACACATACATGTATATATAGAAATTGAATTGTGACTCTCACGGACAGTTTAGTTGGTACTCAGATTGTAAATTGTATACAGAAAAGTATTATCGAAATATCACAATAATAGCAGTGCAGAAGTTACCCCTCCACCATCTTGTCAAGTCGGTGTGTATGTGGGGGCTTTTGGTGCGAGGGATTTCAGATCATCTTTAATTTGTGGGCAAGAAATTGGGTTGTGGTTGAAGCTAAGGTTTGAATTTGTCATAAGTGATGTATACCAGTCGTAATAGATGACCCTTTAAAGGAGAATTGAATTTACCATCAGAAAACTACCAACCTGCCATTGCATTTACTTCCCTCACAGAAGTAGGTCATGCAATGTTGTAAAAACATATGCATTGTTCTGTCCAAATCACTACCACTCTTCAAATTCAAAACCAATATATACATACATACACACACACCAATATATATACATGTATTGAAATGAGGACAAATATATTATAGAAGACTATGCAGACAGGTGTAGTCGTGTGCCATTAGTCTGTATGTTGTATGCATGGTCAAATGTAGTCGTGTGCATAGGGTTGATAGGTGTAGTCATGTGCCATTAGTCTGTATGTTGTGTGCATGGCCTAATGTAGTCGTGTGCCATAGTTTGTATGTCGTGTGCATAGGTTCATTAATTAATAGAGTTTGTGTTCGAAACCTGATGTTTACATGTATGCTACTGTGTCAGTATTAAAATCTGTGCACGATACTAATTTTTCGTGTGTCCATTATTTGTCCGCACAGTCCTCTATATTATCACTGTCCTATGTGAACTCAACCATATATATATATATATATATATATATATATATATATATATATATATATATATATTACATTCAACCTCAGTTTGACTGTTTGATGTTTTACTTTTCCCATATATATACACCAGTCACAACATGTAGCTTGCATAGTTGCATGCATCTCTCTTCTTTCAACCCCCATTCAATGCCCAATGTCATAGTTAGGTGATACAGGCAATATTCCTTAATGCTAAGTTTGAATTCCTGCGCATGGCACTTATGGCCTCGAAATTCGTAATTTTACTATTAGCCTCTATGGTTAATTATAAAATGTTATTTATTTACACTTGTAGATCAGAGTATGTGATCTAGATATATGCATGCTATCATAGTGTTATTGTCATGGTGGTTACATGCGGTTCTCAAAAATAGTAGCTTATTATAAAAGTTGAACATTTGTTAGCCTCAAACAAAGTTCACATTTAGACTCGTAAAAGGATAATTTATGGTGATTCAGTAGTTGTGAAACATAAATACTGCTAGCACGAGTTTAGCTCATTGATTCATAGATAATAATTGGAAGAAATACAAGAGTTCGAACCTTGTAATGTGGGGATTATTCTCAAATTGAACAGATCTCTTGTACGCATTGACATTTAGCCTTTCTATTTAAATGTTTTATCTTGTCGGGATGTGGGCCCTTGAAATTGGGGAATAAGATTCAACCATTTAGGAGAAGAAATACAAATTCTAAACTACCCAGTACACACTAGCTATTGCCAGATGTCCACAATGTAACCCAACATACAAACAAAGCTAAGCTGGCAGCTGGATGTCCATCCAGCAACCTAAGCTCTTAGTAAAAGCTTTTTGTTTAACTCCATTCAATGTTTCTACCTATCCACTGTAACCCTTTTTTTGCCTCTATAAATGCAACCCCTCCAAAACTCTTTCAGCCATCAAACTTGTAAAGAAAGGAATATCGGCAGTGAAAAGAGAAAGAAAAATGGCGAAGCTATGCGTCACTTTCTTCCTTCTCGCAGTTGCAGTTCAGGCGACGTGGGCCGCCAGAGAAGTTCCCGGCGCCGGCGGCAACGATAAAGGGCTGAAAGACCAGAAGAATTACTACTCGTACGGCGGGCTGGGCGGCACGAGTGGGATGGGCAACGGCGGCCTCCCCTTCGGCGGAGTCATGGGTGGTATGGGAACCGGCGGTAATATCGGCGCCCTTCCTTTCAACGGAGGTGTCGGCGGCGGCATGGGGATTGGTAACATGGGCGCCGGAGGAAATAACTTGCCGGCTTTCGGTGGCGGAAATAACATGCCGGGTTTCGGTGGCGGAAATAACATGCCAGGTATCGGTGGCGGCGCTGGTGGAGGTGGAGGTGGCGCCGGCGCCGGCGGTGCCGGTAACCTTCCGCTTCCCTGAGCAAGTTTAGTTTTACTACGTACGTGGAGCAAGGTGGGCGTGGTTTGTGAGAGAGTGTGAGTTAGTTTTACGTAGTTAATTACGTACGTTACGTTGTTTCCTAGTTAATAACGTTGGGTATGGTGTGTTTGTTTAGTATCTTTTCCATTTAATTATGTTATCTTATATTATAATTATTACTCACTGTTTAATTTACAGTATCGTTGTTCTGTATTTGTATTTCTTTTTTGCATGGGCAAACAGGCGCTTATTGCATGCATGCATGCATGGTAGGCGAAAAAATTGCTAGTGTTCATATCGGGAAAAGATGGTTAAGTTTACGTGAACTATAGTCATAGACAATTGGACTCAACATCATAACTTCACCTACCAATTTGATTTAATTATTCTCAAGAGTCGAGACATGTTAAACAACTCAAGTATCACGACACGTTGAGCTAAATTTGTCCATAATACTTGAGTCAAACTATTTACTAGAGTCCACAACTTAATTTCATTTTTTGTCCTAGATTTATAAGTGACAATTCACTTTTAGTCCTTTTTAGAGTTAATTTTATTTTTTGTCTTAAATTTATAAGTGAAAGTCCACTTTTAGTCCTTTTCTGTCAAAACATCCTCATTTGGTTATAGTATTATTGTGGCATGATCATTTTTGGTTTTCTGTCAACAAAATCGTTAAAATGTCATTAAATGTATTGACATTTTGATCTTTACAAAGTATAGGTTGACTCGCTATATTTTTATTTTTAATTTTTTGAAAAAAAATCATAATTGAATACCTAAATGTCATTGTATTTTACGAAATTTAAGCGATTTTGTTGCTGGAGGACAAAAAAATGGTCATGCTACAATAATACTAGGACCAAATAGAGATGTTCTGGAAAACAATTGACTAAAAGTCGACTACCATATATATATATAAATCTATGACTAAAAATGAAATTAATTTTTTTTTTTTACATATTTTGTAAATATATCATTACAATTTTGTACAAATATGTTTATTAAAAAAAAACACTAACAGAGATATGATACACAGATTGAAACTTTGAATCCTACCAAGAAAAAAAAAGTGTGATTTTGTTGTGAAAAATACTATACATATCGTGATTTAACTCGATGAAGAAAACGATAAATACTTTGTAAAATTGCATTAAATTTGAGTTGAACTTTAAACTTGGAGTGTTTGGAATTGATTGAATTCAATTACACCCCTATGCAACACGTACAATCAACTACTCCCTCCGTCCCGAATTGGTTGTCTCATTTGCTTTTTGCACGCTTTTTAAGGAATTAAAGTAAATGTTATGTATTTTCCAATTATGCCCTTCACTTTTTCACTTTTGGGAATAAAAGCAAAAGTCATAAGGGTAATTTGAGAAAAAGTAGAATGATGGTGATGTTCAATTTTGGAAAGAGGACAACATTTTGGGACAAACTAAAAAGGAAAGTAAGACATTCAAAATGGGACAGAGGGAGTATATGAAATCAACACAATTAAAGCTTGTCGGATAATATATATACTCAACAACTCTAATAAATTCACTCTACCAATATTAGTACAAGAGAGTGAACATAACCGTACCATTCTACAAACTACTCAGAATTCATAGTTTCTATAATTCCATGTATAAGGGGTGGAGATCTATAGGCAGTGTGCATTTTTTCCATTGTAAATTTTCATATTCGAAAGATTTTTTTTTTTTTTAACAATAAAAATATCTTTTTTGAAGAATTTAGAAAATAATTAATTCATAAAATTGAGCCAAAAGCAGTGATGTGAGACGGGGCCATGTGTTCTCACATAGTACAGATGGCTACAGATTTCATCAATGTTGTGAAGCAGAGCTTTTAATGTTTACAGAAAGCTGATATAAAGGGAAGAAGGAGCATTGAATGCCACCGTACAAATTGAGAAAAGTAATTCTTCACTACATGTAAAGCCCTTCAGGGACTCCCTCTTTCTTCTTGAACATCACCTTGTCCTTGGCTTTCTTGAAATCAGCATGAGTTACCTGCAAATTTTGCAATACTTGGGGTTAGATCACACTTCATAACCAACCAACCAACATTTGGGAAAGTAAATCGAGACATGTTTTTACCTTCATACGCCTCTCTCTTAACGCGAGCAATCCAGCTTCAGTACAAATGGCCTTGATATCGGCTCCAGAAAACTCGTCTTTTGTCATGACAAACTCTTCTAAGTTGACATCATCAGCCAGGGTCATCCTTGCTGTGTGTATCTAATCACATAATCAAAAGTTCTACTTAGACACGAACAGGTAGTAGTTATGGGTGAATCACCCTTTTGCAGTTTCGTACTAAATGTGATCGAGCCATGTGCATACCTGGAAAATCCTCCGCCTTGTTTTGATATCAGGAAGAGGAAATTCAATTTTCCTGTCAATTCTGCCAGGTCGAAGCAGGGCAGGATCAAGGCTCTCAATCTTATTAGTGGCTAGGATTACCTTCACATCTCCCCGTGAGTCAAAACCATCTAGCTGGTTAAGCAGTTCAAGCATGGTACGCTGAATTTCACGCTCACCACCCGAGTGTGCATCATACCTGTAGATGTTAAATGTTAACTAAGGATTCCACAACATTTTCAACATCCCCCTATATATCAAAAACTTACCTTTTGGTACCAACCGCATCAATTTCATCAATAAAGACAATAGCAGGTGAGAGTTCATCAGCAACCCTAAATAGCTCTCTCACCAATTTGGGACCATCTCCCAAGTACTTCTGTATCAGTTCACTTCCAACAACACGCAAGAATGTAGCTGAAGTTGAGTTAGCAACTGCCTGAAGATCATTGATGGGCAATCTGTTAGAATATCTGTTCCTAAAATCATGAGGTAGTGAAGGAAAATGCCAGCCAAAAAGCAAATGCAGTGCACAGCATAGACTGCTCTTTTGTTCTGTATGGTGGGGAACATAATAATTATAATACATGCTATAAAAAATTCCACACATCAAAGGGTGGATTCCATGTCAACCATGTAAAATCAGCTCCATGCTATAAGGCAACTCATTTTATTTGCACAGTTTCATCTTTTCTTTTACTATTCAAAGAAATTATGTTTGTACACATTTCAACCAGTCATGAATTCAAAGATTTCTTCAGCAAACCTGATGCCTCACAGAATTAGTGATTTCTCCCTCAGCAATACACTTACAAGAATAATACCACATAGAGATACATAGAGTTGTGAGCAAACCTTTGCAAGCAATGTTTTACCAGTGCCAGGCTCTCCATACAGAATGACTCCTTTAGGAGGTTTAATACCGATGTCTTCATACAGCTCAGGATGAGTTAATGGAAGCTCGACTGCTTCCTTGATCTCCTGAATTTGTGCATCTAGTCCACCAATATCAGCATATGATTCCAAAGGAGCCTTCTCAACCTTCATTACAGAAACCATGGGATCTACATCATCTTGAAGAAGTCCAACAACAGAGAGAACCTGGAACAGCAGGAAAGATCATTAAAATAATAGATCCCTATTTCATGTGCTTAAAGCAATGAGAATAAATTCATCATATAATAAGTACAAAAAGAAATAAGATTATTGGGACATAAGATAGTGGAATAACTTTTGTTTTCGCCCACTCTTACTGAATTGGAAGAAAAATAATCAATGAGATACATCTCGAATAAAAGGGATCTCTCAATAATATCAAAGTTGTAAAAGGCGTTAGGTGCTCGTCGGGCGGTGGATGGGCACCTAGGTTCCTTAATAAATTTCTTTTTTATACATTTGATAAAAACAATAAAGCATAAAAGCCTAACCCTAGCCCAAAACTTAAAAGTTCAGCACAAGCCCAAACTCTCCAAAGTTAAAAATCTAACCCTAATTTAAGTCCCAAAATTTCAGTGAAAGCAATGACTAGATGACTTCCAAGCGACGATAGCGAGCTGTGACAATGGGCTTTGACACGCCAAGGAAATCCAACCGTCCCACAAGGCAAGGGGCTTTGCAAAGGGGTTTAGGTGGCGAGCTACAACTATGATGGGCAACTGAGCAATGAGTGACTGTGAGGGCGTGAACTCCAGCAAAGGCAACAACAACACAGGTAAAATGGAAAACTTGTCCGACTAGTCAGTCAACTCGGTTGACTAGTTGGATGGCCACCAAAGTAGGTGCCTACATCAGAACATGCATCGGCCTAGAGGCGCCTGGCACCTATGTGGCGCCTAGGCTGATTTTTGCAACGCCATTAATATCTATGCATATGTAGTGTTTCTGAAATTTAAATGGAAAGAGTATATAAGTTGAGCTCGTGAAATTGATCCCAAGCTGTGAAACACCAAAGACAAGCTCTTTATTTTTCAGGTGGTTTAGATCATTGTTGTCCTTTCAGTTAAAAAGGATTAGGAAGACACCAGAAGATGAAACTACAATCTTCAAGAATTTCACAGCTTATTGGACTAGCAGAATTTTACATGGATTATTCCTTTTCGCAAATAGAGAACACTATAATCCACTGCCTTTCCATAAACTCCATGATATTCAAAGTTAATAGAACATCCACTAATGCAATAATCTAAGGCACTAACTGTCAGAATTCTTAAGTAACAAATGGTTTACCTAAAAACAATAAGTTATTGACTTATCATGCCATTTTCTCAAGAAATCTATACATTCCTCAAACCTCGGCTCAACATTCCCGAAATCCCAATTTTTCCTATCAAACCCTAGGCAATTCATCACCGTAAAATCAATGCGCATTCATTAGGAAAACAACATTCCCGAAATCCCAATTTTTCCTATCAAACCCTAGGCAATTCATCACCGTAAAATCAATGCACATTCATTAGGAAAACAACATTAATGGAGAAAATTAGACAATTACCTTATTGTGCATTAAAATTGCACATCCAGGCTCGAGCTGATCTTTATCAACGAACGATAAAATAGATACATAGTACTCCGGCCCCACTGAAGAAGAAACGATGGCATGGTTCTCATCAATCAGCTCCTCCAGATTCCCGACGCTCATAGGTGAGCCCCGAAGGTCATCGACTTTGGATCGATCCTCTTCGGTCTTTTCTTCCTGGGGTTTCAGCCGTTCCTGATTAGCCACGAACTCTTCTTCCATCAATAAATAGTCTTTAATTCTCTCGAGCTTCAGGAGCCGGAGTTTGCACTTGGTCAGCGGAGTAACAGTTGGAAGCCGAGCAGCCGCTTCCGAACCCTTCTGCTTCCGCTGTTTCCGGCCGACGCGGGCCGGCGGCGCCGCCGGCTCGAACTTCTTATCCTTCTTGTCATCATTTTTACGATCGCCGGGGAGCTGCCGATTCAGACCGCCGGGAGTTCCTTGACCCATGATTGTTCTTCCTTAGAAATTTCAAGAGCGAAGCGCCGAGAGATTTGTGCAATTGAAGATCGAAATTCAGTTCGGATTTGAAGCGACCTTTCTTCTCACGAAAGAAATGTCGATATAACGGGCCTACCCCTAAAAAGGCCCAAGCCCAGTATCTATTACAGAACCCTTATAAGCCCAATAGCAGCTCGATCAATTGTTATATCGTGTACCAGGGAACCCAATGCGTCCTAAAATCCCATGTTTCGTATGTACATAATTATATAGTAGAATACACATAAACCTTTAATATAATACACATAATTTTAACATAATACATTGATAATACTAATTCTCCCAGATGTTAGTTGTATGTACTAAATACATAAAATATATGTCTGAACAAGAGGAAGAATCACAAGAAAATAGCTCAAATTCCCTTTTTATTCATCTTTTGTTTGTGCAGAGAGAATTTAGAGAAAATGGGGGAAGGGAGAGCTTAGAGTGAGAGAGAGAGCTCATGGCTCCAAATGGGCCAAAGATCCCCTCACTCAGAGGGCTAGAAGCCCTTTTATAGGGCCACCGAGGTGGCGGGTTTGACCCATCTCGGGTTTGACCCGTCACCTTTGACCCCGACCCGTAGGCCAAGACCTGAATCGCGAGACTCCGACCCGACTGTAAGCGATGGCACGGACCTGGAGTATATAACTTATCATACATAATACATATAAACTCTTAACATAATACATAATACACATAAACTCTTAAAATATTACATATAAACTCTTAATGTAATACACATAACTCTTAACGTAATATATATAAACTCGTAACATAGTACACATAAACTCTTAGGGCGCTACGTTGTGCATTCTGGTGCACAATATAATTTGCCCAAGTCGATAGTTCATTTGCTTCGACTAATCACAAGTCCTATTTCAACGATAATGCAAGAGTTTGAATTTTAATGAAATCTGAGGGTGATTGGGAAACTTTGAGCGTCCGATCAAGAAAACTCCTGCAACAAGCAACGGAACAAGCATTGGTCAGCCCTTTACACTATTCCTTCTTTCGTCAGGAATAGCTGGTCGGAAGCTCAGCACCGATCAAAGGAGATGAAGGCCTCTTGTATGAGCAAAGTATACAAGCAAAGGTGAGAACCTATGGACTAACTAAAATATTCGCAACTCGCAATTTACATCCTCCAGCGGCTCTTGGTCAGGGACGTTTATACTATGGACCAAAGTTTATATTGCATTGTGAACTCTGATATAAAAATTCTGTACCTTCAGTTAACACATTCTATACATATAGTTAACAATTTATGTACATATAAACAAATAACTTGATAATTGATAACACATAATATGATAGTTATAGGTATAGAAACTATTAACTGCAGGTACAAAATGTGTCAACTATAGATACATAATCTTATTTAATAATTGCTGACACATAATATGATAGCTACATGTACAGAAACTATCAGCTGCATGTATAAAATGTGTCAACTATAAATACAGAATCTGAATGTTATTTTTGGACCAGAGTCTACAATACAAGATAAACCATTAGACCGTTATCCATCGTATAAAGAATACCTAATGTATCAAAATATATATCGGGCCTATCACTAGAAGTCCCAAGCCCAATATGTATTCCAAAACCCTTATAAGCCCAATAGCAGCTCTATAGCCCACTTAGGCTTCCATCAAAAGCCCATTAGCCCAAGCTTTTATACATCTATAGCAGCTCTCATGCTCGTGAAATTCAGCAGAGAAGATGGGGCCGAAGAAGTGTGGAGTTTGCGAAGAAGCTCAGTCTAAGTACAAATGTCCCAGCTGCGTTATACCCTAGTAAGCTTGCTTTCTTCTTTCTTTCTCCGGTTTTCGCTCCATCTTCAATCGACCATTATAGTTTCAGAGAGATTGCTTGAAAATAAAAATTGAAAAAGATCACTTTTTTTCATCTCGCAGTTGTTCCCTGACATGCTTCAAGAAGCACAAAGGTTCAATCTCTGGCCACTGTGCAATATAAGATTGATTATTATCTGTTTTTGTTGATGTTTGATTGCAACTTTGATGATCAAATTCGAGTGGTTGTGCTATTTTAGTAGAATTTTGTATCTTTTAGTATAATTTGGATGCTTGGCTTACCCGAGGAGACTTCACGATTTTTGCAGAAATTCCATGTGGAAAACCCCAGCCTTCTTCAGAAGAAAATTTGGGTAAGCTTTGTTGTGAAATGTCAAGTCTTTGAATAAACAGAAATTTGATTACTGCTTTTCTGTATTATTTCTTGGATATGTTGCTGTAGTAGTGTTGAATTGTTGTTGGCTGGTGATAATCCTGACTGAATGTACTATGAATATATATATATATATTTATGACATGTGAGAATATTAACCTATAAATGATGAGTTAAAAATAAAATGGTGAGGATGGGGCATTAATTTGTAGCTATTGATTAAAGGGAAAAAAAAAACGGGATTGTGATAAATTCCTAATTATTTCCAAAAGAAAAATAAAGTAAAACATTGAGAAAATATAAAATTTTGTGAGGTCGGGGAATCCCCTCTCCTGGATGGAGATGGGGATACGCCCCCCGCCCCGCTCTATTGACATCCCTAGTTCTGTTGTATAAGTTGCCAGATATAATGCTTGTTAGCCCATGAAAATTGATTAGATAGCATGATTTGACTATAAGGTGAATATGACATGTTTGTGGAATTTTCCCAAGAGTTTTTTTGTAAAGACCGTTGCATCTATCTCTCAATCTCTTGTGCTTTTAACATTATAACGTTATATCATTTTATATCCATCAGCTCCTACTCCTGCACTGCATGTTGATAAACCATTGTACGTTGATGAGCCAAGCCAGGTGCTGACGCAGTCACAACTCGAGTCTGTAGGTATATCTGATGGATGTCCCTCGTGCAAGATTCTTCTTCATTTGAAGTCGCAAAGTAAATTAAGATATTTTTCTTTCTGGGTATTTATTTTTATCGTCCCCTTTCATCAGCTTCATCCAGTGAAATATGCGAGGCACTAAGGAGTGAGGAGCTTCAGAAACTTATATGCAATATAGATTCTTCTACGGATGCCGAGTCTGTAAGTGTTATTAGCCCTGCTTAATGTGACTATAGATTCTCTTGACATGTTTGTTGAGCGTCTGAGAAGATACCCACCAGCCACCGGGACATCATTAACTAAATTTTCCACTTACCCAGGACCTCGATAAAGCTATGCAGAAGGAAGAATTTCACATACTTGCCCAGAAGGTATTTTACTTCCATTATGCTTTATGAAAGCGACTTTTTCAGGAAAATGTACTTTCCATAGTGTGGCACAACTAACTCTAAATATACTGCCAATGTATAGATCTTATCTACCATCAGTCCTTGAGGTTCGGTTTTTGACCATGTTCTCGATTGTATATTAATGTGGAAGAAGGAAGCTATTCCTTATGCAAGGAGGAATCTGCCGTGATCTGTTTGGACTCTTTTTCTTTTTTCTCTTATGAGAGCTCGTGAGATTTAGCCATTGCCCATTGGTCATATCTTCAACAATTTCATTGAGTGAAACCACTTTAATACATCGATTCTATGGCAGTAATTACATGTTAGCTGTGTTATTTTTGTACTGAGAAATGCCCGAGCAGGCTGCACTCTTCTTCCTGCTTCGCTTACACTACAAAATTTAGTTGGGAAGACTTCTCATCATTGATCCGCCTGGGAATCAACCTGCAAATGCAGAGGTACCAACTTGAGTGGTTAAGCAAAGTGGAGACTGTTTCATTTGCGCCATAAAAATAGCCAAAAGTTCACTAGAAAGATGATGAATCAGGAATAGAACTGGAAGTTTACCACATTGCAGAGTTGTTGGATTCTCAACATCTTTGCTGCTGCAGGGCTTGCTCTTATTAGAATGTTCCGCCATCTCGTTCTGAAAGGGAAAGTAAAGGTCCGTTTACTAACTGGAGAATTTCTCTAGTTTTTTGGAAACTGGTGGGGAATTAGAGAATAAAAAATAGAAAACATGTTTAGTAGCACAGTTTTCCATTTCCATTTTGAAAACTGGAAACGATTTTCCAGATTAGAAATCTGGTAAACTTCTAAAAACATGGAAAACAGGATCATTTATAGCACAGTTTTCCATTTTGATTTTTTTTAACACTTTAGTCTTTCTAGCAAGTTTTTTCCCGACAGAGCATCTGGGAAAATGTAAATCATGGTAACTCAACTGAACATCTCACTTTAAGAGGTTACTCCCACACTGCCGTTGGTGAGACTCGATCCCTGGTCATTCTTCCAAACTTTCACCTCTATGACCAGTTGAGCCACCCATGCGGGTTTCTAGCGAGTTTTTGACCTAACATCACATGTAATCCTGTTCTAATTGTTGCACGCATGCTAGTTTTAGGTGATATTTGGTCGGAAAACTTAGCAAGAGGCTAAAAGTGGTAAGAATTTGTGAAACTCGGGTGGGAAAAGGTAAGAGATGGAGATGGATAGCGGCAACTTCAACCAAGCTAGTCAAGCTGTTGACATGGTAATTATAAGGTTACAAATTTGACCCCGGCCTATTAGCCTTCTTTGTAAGCTAGTTTACCTCTTTCCCGTTGTTTGCCGACTAGAGTCACAAGACGGTGTTTACTCAGTTCACACCCACGTGTTGTGACTGTGGGTTTCCCTCGTCACTTCCCAAAAAGAAGATGGAAAAAAGATGAATGTTCAACCTAAGACTACTGTTGCAGCTTACCATTGAAGGTGTAACTTGTGTCTGTGTTGGGAATGGTGGGTGGCTAGAGTTATGAGGTGAGTTGAGCATGGGATCTGTGTGGTTTAATGCCTGAATTCTTGAGGGATCTGCCATGGAAAATGGAGTAGGCATTGGAAATGCAGGCATAGGAAACCTTGGACCCCCCATTGGATATGGCGCCACAGGGGGATTCATGCCCATCCCAATCCCCATTGCAGGCATGTACTGCTGGATCCCAGGAAACATCATCGGAATCATGCCACACCCATGTCCCAAAGACATCATCTGCAGATCAAGAATGTCCATTCAGTATAGAGACTAAGGTCACAAGATGAGATTTACCCAGACCATACCATCTGATACTAACTGCGAGTTTTCCTCATTACTCAAAAAAGACAGATACCTGCACTTGCAACTGGAGCGATTTTAGATACTCAATTGCTTCGTCTAAAATCGAAGCCTTGTCCAACTGAATTCAAGAAAAGAGAGTATGAAGATTATATATATGTATATACATATATAACTTGAAGCTAGCTAGCTAGCTAGGTAGAAGATCATATCAGATCAGATCAGAGCACCAAAACCTTGTTGCATCGCGGTATAAGTTGCTGCAGAGCTCTCATCTTCTCATTGATCCTGTCGCGACGTTTCTGCATTTGATTGATTGTAGCAAAGAAGAAGATGAAGAAAAAATTACAGGATTCTGTGTAATGGTTAACAAAACTGCATTCATACCCTCTCTGAGAGATTATGGACTTCTGCTGCGCGAGATCGCTTGGAAGACGTTTGCTTCTTTGCATTATACCCAAAGTCAGTGTCCTAAGATAACAAAAGACAGCAAGAAATTTGAGTCTATCTTAACCCTTCATGCATCACAACAACCACCCACCGAATACGTTCCGTTTTAACTGAAAGTTTAAAAATTGTTAGTTACCGACACTTCTACTGAATTTGAGTCTTTGATGACTTAATTGATTTTTCGTTGAAACTTGCAATCACTACTCGGAAGTGTGTACTGAAGCACAAAGAGTTAATATCGCATCCACTGAAAATCGAACCCATGGCTTTCCAGTTAGTAGAGCCACTTCGTCCACTAGACACAAGGTCATTCATTATGAATCAAAATTTGAAAATAAGAAGGATCCCACAATCCTGAACCAAATTCGTGATGAATTTTGACACTAAAACAATAGTCGTGGATGAAAATTGGTAAGAATTAAATATGTGAATCAAAACTGTCATTTTGTTAATACTCATGGGACCAAAATTGGTATTTACTCTTTTTTTTTTTTAGTTTTTTTTTTCCAACTTTCTATTTGAGTTTTATGTCCTATCATTTTCCTTTGTGTTCTATAGCGGTACACTAGGCAGAACCCAAAGACTATTATACGATTTCGGAAGCAAACACGGCATGGCGCATGGTAGTCCACCGGTGCCATGTACAACGGAAAGAGAAATTAATCCAAATTTTAAAATTAACTCTCAGTAAAAGCCGTGTATTAGTCTTCTTAATTTAAAATAGTTAGCCACTATATAGGACACAACTCCAGGAAAGAAAGTTTATGGGACAATTATTTTTGTAATTACAAAATTCTAAATTAAAGAGTGTTCTATTAATTTTCTTAATTTGAGTTAATCAGTTACGAGCATCTGTGATTTATGATTTTACCAACTATTTGTCACCCAAAAAAATTACTTAGTAGTTTACAACATCTGATACTAGACTAATTCTGTTACATAAGCTACCAAATCATACTTTCTAAACTTTTTACTCCTTGATGTGGCGGACAATGATAGGTTACTTTTTTTTTTTTTTTTTTTTATGTGAGTCTCAGTACAAGTGTCTATATCAAGATTTTGTATATCAGAGTAAAAGTTAGGAGTAGAAAATGGAAGTAGATATAATATTTTCTGAGATGAATTTTTATGGTAAAATAATTAAAAAATAAGAAAAAAAAAATGAAGAAGAAGAAGTGTAGCTAACTGCTCACCGCATTATGACCCTCGTCGTCCGTTTCGCTTCCTTTGGCCTTCCGGTCGTCCATCGCCGTCGCCGGAGCTGTCGACTTCTCCGCGCTGACGCTGGCTCCGGAACCGTCGTCTGGAGAAGACGTCACTGTCATTTCCTTGGCTCCCGTTGACGCGCCCGCAGCTTCAGTCCCGCTCATAGCCCCGCCGCGCGGGCCTAGGTTTCCGCCTGAAACCTGCGCCGTACTATCTGCAACGTGAGAATCTCTATATTCGCTGGGAACTATCGGAGTATCATTTGACTCCACCACCGTCGACGCCGCTCTCGACGGTCCAGCAGGCGGCCTACACAACCGCGCGAAGTTCTGGGAACGCAGGACGTCGGTGCGCCCCGAGGGAGGTATAGGCGGCAGAGGAGCGGGCGGCCGACGGACCTCCGGCGCAGATGCGCGGAAATCGCGCGGCGGAGCCACGGCGGCGGCGGCGGAGGACGAAGATGGATACAGGAGATCAGCGGAGAGATAAGGAGAGTCGTCGACGAGAGGATAGTGAAGCCAAGACGCCATCTCGTCTTCTTGCATGAATAGTTCCGGCTGATGATGAGACGTAGCCATTTCCTCCTCCGCCGATCCGACGACCTCTCTGGCCGCCGGAACCGGAATCGCCGCGTCGCCGCCGTGAGATCTCTTCACCGATCTCTGGTGGTTCTGAGTGTGCACCACCACCTGACCGTTCTGCCATAACAACTCCATAATCTCATCTTCCATTGCAGACTTCTTTGCGCCGCCGCTTAAACCCGCCGCAGACGGCGGCGCAATCATCGGAAGAGGAGAGTAATCCTCGTCCATTTCGAACTCCGGAACCGCGCAGTGATGATTCATCGTCACCTTTGCAATAACTTCATTAAAGCAGAAAAAAAAACTGAAGATCAGATCGATGATGAAGACGATGAAAAGCGATTAAAGAGTGGATTGAAATGCAGCTTTTGAGTTTGAAGGACAGCGGAAGAGATAAGGGGTTGTCTGTCTAGGTAGCTAGCGTTTAGGTAGCTTGAGGAAAGGAAAAGAATCAGCCAAAAAAAAGACAGAAATTAATGATGGATTTTGACGCCATTAATGTAAGATCAGAACACTAAAATGTTTGTGTCATAAAACACATTTCCCCACCTCTTTCAATCACTGGCTTATCATCACCACCAACTCTTAATTTTTCCATCTCCCACTTGACAACTCCCATACCATCATAAGCTATCATGTCTCCCTCTCTCTCTTTTAAAATTCATCCCATACTAATAATATAATAATCAAATATTTGGCCCAGACTCATTAGCAAACCTAAAATAAGTTTATAAGTTTTGCTTTGCTGATCGATCACTAGGGTTCATAAGCTTTGCTTTGTATTTGGGGGCGTGTAACCTATAGGCTGATTAAGGTACATCCCGCAATTTACTTAATGCAGAAGTGGTGGGGCTTTACCGGCACATTGAGACATATTTTACGATTTACCGGCCTCCAAGACAGGAGCTAGTGGTGGGACTTTTGCTTTGCATTTGTAGGTCTATTGACAGTTGAGACATATCTAACTATTTACTTCATCCACTCGTCTCCAAGGCTGGAGTAGTGATGAACTCTTAATTAGTTTGAGGTTCAAATGTATAATGATAAAATGTTTGATGTGAAACAAACTAAATATAATTAAAATAATAAATGAGAAAATTACCAATTTGGTCCTTCGACTATGAGGATTTCACTAATTTGGTCTTCGACTATCAAAATTACTCAATTTGGTCCTCGACTATGACATTTTTACCTGATTTAGTCCTAAGTGTTATTTGCAGGTCAAACCTAAAAGACAATTTTGGAATTTAAAAAAAGTATATTCCTTCTTATTCCCTAAATCTAAGTCGTTTGTTTTATATAGATAGGTTATTTGTTTTCGATAGCAGTCACAGCTTCAATATGCAACCAAAGTGCAATGAATCATCTTCATCCGGTTATTAGAATTGAATGATGTTCGAAAATGGAGATGCTTATAGCTGGATGAAAATGATGTTGGCACAAGGCAGCAAATTTTTGAACATCATTCGATTATTATAGCTGGATGAAGATGATTCACGGCACTTTGGTTGCATATTGAAGCTGCGACTGCTATCGAAAACAAATAACCTATCTATATAAAACAAACGACTTAAATTTAGGGAAGAAGAAGAAAGATGCTTTTTTAAAATCTCAAAATTGCCCTTTAGGTTTGACTTGCAAATAACACTTAGGACCAAATCAGACAAAAATGTCATAGTCGAGGACCAAATTGAGTAATTTTGGTAGTCGAGGACCAAATTGGTGAAATCCTCATAGTCGAGGGACCAAATCGGTAATTTTCTCAATAATAAATTTATACTTACAATTCTAATTATTGTTTACAATTTGGCATGTTCAAAGATTATAGACAAGGATACCATATCTGGTATACCTAATTATAATCATGTTTTTCTGTTATATATATATTGTTGTTCATCGTAACTCTCATGGACATGACAAATGCCCTATCTTGATCACTGTCTGATACAAAGGCATACATCGTTACGTTTACTTACACCAAGATAATGGGAGGCGTAGAACACCAAAATTTTCGGGTTAAAAGGAAAATTTTTGGTGATACATTATATTTTATGGGAAGAAAAAAAAAATACTAACCCACTTTTTATTTAGAAAAATTATAGTTCAGGCAAGAAACTTTGTTTTAAAAAAGAAAAAGAAAAAAAGATCAGAGTAAAATAGACCGCAGATAGGAAGTATAGCTGACTAAGGATGGTTGGATCGATAAGTTTATAGTGTTTAAGCTAATGCTAGTTGGATTCTGAAATTGGGGATGATTTGAGTTTACCGGTAACCAAGTAGTGCTAATTTGGCGAGGCTTGATGGGTGGAAGTGACCAGTTGATCGGTCAAGTGGCATGCCAAACTTATTAGTCTACCAGTCTAATATTGCGATAGGCATAATTTGACCTAACTTAGCCCGTTCAACAAAAAAAAAAAATCAATTAAATTATCATATAACATCATCATATCATAATAATAGTGTTAAAACCATCATTTCATTTTTCATCTTTTTTGCTACATGTAAGATGGGAAATTTGATTAATGGAGTAATTAAATGATTGATTATCTTTGCTTTCAAACAAAAATGATTGATTATCTTTAACTTCTTGAAGCTGGGGCTCATGGACTCCTAAGCGAACAAAACGGCGGCGTTATAGCGTCTGTCATATCGAGGTGGTCACGCCAAAGCAAATAAAGACGATATTTCTTAATCACAGCATTTTTAATTGTAGGACCCAGAAATAGAGACACCCCATATGTACGGTGCATCGCATACCAAGTACCAACACAATACCTCTTCTACTTTTCTATAAAAATTTGTTGTTAAACATTTTACCTTTTTAAATTATTTTTTAGGAAGTAAACCTGCGGTCACTATTTAAATATTTATACTAAATAAATATAAATTATATATTTATCACATCAGATGGTAAAAAAAAATGATAAAAGGAAAACCAATTCAAAATAATAATATGCTTATTGTTTACCATTATACTTTCAAGTCTCAAATAATCATTTTTCTCAGTGATAAGTTGATAACTCATCAAATATACGAACTTTATTTATTGTACTCATATATATATAAAGAATCATATTACATATTTCTCTCTTAAAATTACTTCTTATTTTTCACATCATGACATATTTTTATTCTATTAAAGTGTGTGTGTGAATATATATATATATATATATATATATATATATATATATATATATACACACACACACACACACACACACACACACACAAAAGTAGTCAACTATTATAAAGAGTAACAAATTTTATTTTAAAATTTTTTTTAGAGAAATAAAGAACTTCAAAGGCATAACTCGGTTAGTTGATCTAACTCTGTTCCGACATTTATTTTAAAATGTAATTCTTTTTGTAATTTACAATTTTTACCGAACTTCAAGATAGAGGCATATGAGAACCCATTGGGATAGGGTATGATCCTTTTTAGAAGAGAGAAATATCATTGATCATATATAATTGTATTGTGCAACGCGGTTCGGATCGATTGGACTTAGGCCATTGAACATGTTGAAGTCAACTTTGAGGGCACATTTTTAACTTTCTGTTTGTTTTCCTAATGTCAAATCTGTCGGACATTTTTAGTTTTCTTTTCCTTTTCTTTTTATTTGGTTTTATGGGCACAAATTATTAATCTCGTCATTTTAGGTCTGAGCTAATTTTGAGATTACAAATCATTAGAATCATACCTTTCCAGCTACGATGCAATTATCTTACTCCAAGATTATTTGAGTGGCAATCTTCAACCCCATCCCAAAGGATTGCACCCCCCTGAAACCCCATCATTCCAGCTCCAAAAACTTAATCAATAAATTACAAAATGTGTTTCTATGTTACTTTCGGTGCCCCACCACTTCTGTCTTAGAAGCTTAGTAAAGTAAGATAATCACGAAATGTACCTCAACGGCTCAACATGACCCTTTGTGACCATAACAAGGCTCTGAATGGCAATCTCAACCCCATCCAAAAGGATGGCACCCCCGAAATCCTTCATTCTAGTTCTAAAAACTTAATCAAGGATATTAATTACAAAATGTGCCTCAACATGACTCCCAAGCTTCTATGGGAGTAAAATAATCACAAAATGTGTCTCAACATGACCCTTGGTGACCACAAGCCAATTTTATACTGCCCATTGGCAAAAAACCAAACCTTGCAACAGTAACAAAGCTAGACTATATCAACCAATTGAACTGTAATTCTGCAGGTTTGTAACCACAATTTGACTCAAGAACTAGAAAGGGTCTTAGAATTCTAGGGAGTATTAAGATAAGGTGATGTATAAAAATGATGACTCCAATGAAAAGACATCGAAACCAATGATCTTAATTTAAAGGGTGTGTTGTCGGGAACTCAAAACCACAAAAGTCAGAATCTGTAGTAAAGGAAACACTGGAGAAAATTGTCATATCAAATCCCACGACCACACAAACATTTTATAAGTGGAGGAGTTGATCACCTTTCACATGCCAGATTTGAAATGTTCTTCATTTTCAGTAGTAGCTGAGGTTGAAGATGAATGAATGAATGAATGATTGAGGTTGTTATTCAAAAAAAAAAAAAAAAAAAAAAAAAAAAAAAAAAAAAAAGTAGATTCCTCCTCTCAACGTTTCGGGTTTCTGAGGCAATTTCAAGTTAGAGGGCTAAGGTCATGTTTCAAAGTACATAGGTGAACAGGAAGACATCATGTGCAACAACAGTAGAGCAGTTTTGTATGATAGCAATGCTCCAAACATCAATCAATCATAATACCAGAACAATCTTTTATCATATTCATGTTTCAACATCAGATTACGAAGTTTAGTTCGATTTTGGAATTCATGAAAGTACATAAAAGTTGCAACTCTGCTTTAAAACCTAACTGATTTGAAAAATGAAAGATAAAAATTACGTTAGAGAAAAAACCAATAAAAAACGTTACCACTCGAAAAGGACAGCACATTCACGCTATACATGAGAGAAGCCTTATGAATCACTAGAGGCGGCGACTCACTCCACCTACAAGACATTGAAAAAAAAAAAAACAAAACCTTCATCTAATTTTGGGTAGCATCTATGGGAGTACCTGTTCGGGCCTGTGATATCCGGTTTGCATAAATTGTCACTAGCCTCAATTGTGTGCTGTTGAGCCCTTGCAAGTATGGTAAAAATGCTTTTCCGAGCATGATGTATATGTCAACTAAACAGAAAACGACGGTCTGCCACCACAGAAAAGTATATACACTAATCAATTTGAGCTTGACACAAAGTAAACGGAATAGTGTTATCCCTAAATATCTTTTTATGCCCTATTGTGTTGACAATGAAACTAGAGGTACACATCTAATGCTAAAGTGCTACTTCTGCTCAATCCTGTGTAGAAAATAGAAATTCATATCATGTATATATACCTAACTCAACCATAGATTTACTTTGCGTATAAAGAAACTTGAAAATTCCCCATTTATTACATGCATTATTGCCAGCTTTAGATCATTGCTTCTGCAAAAGCTATACATGCATCATCCTTTGAGTGTCTACCTTACCGAGACTAAATCTACAGATGCAATCTAATTCAGTAATTCTACAGCTCTCCTTGTCTATTAGAAATTTCTTTGTCATAGGTAATGTGATTGATAGATTAGAATGTCAATTGGATTCTGATGTGAAATAATTATAAAAACTTTAAAAGGTTAAAATAAAGGTATTAACTACCACCTTCCGCACATCAGCACTTTGGTTCCCAAATGCATCAAACAGAGCAGGCAAGAATGAAGGTAATTGAGACAATAACTCCTCCTGAGAGAGCCTGCCTACGAGCTGAAGGCATAGACAGAAAAGGCAATATCACAAACCCAGCTTAAAACAGATCATTCAAGCATAAATTTTTGCAAGAATTCCTTCTACTTTATAAAACAATAAAGCAACAGTAATAAGGATCAAAATAAAATAATGTTAAAATTAACAAGTATGCAAGTCTGCAAATTGTAGTATCAAGGATTAGATGACATTGAACATTTAGCTTTTAGTTTTCATCATTTTTCATCTTTTCTTTTGGGTGGGGGGAGCAGGTTAAAGTCGAGCAGTCTTCCCATTTCAAAATGATTATGGTATGAGCTAAAGTTTGTACTGAAATGTGGAAAGGAAAAAGTTACCTTAGTCAAACAGTTTACACAGGTTACAAGAGTCTTCTCGTCTTCAGTAGCAAGCAAAGGAGTGATAACCTGTCAGATAAAAAGGGTAATCACGAAAGAATGTAAAAATGGGGCGGGTGATTTTCACAAGCAAAAACAAGATCAGAAAATTAACTTCAGTATTACTTACACTGAGACATCTGAATGGATCATATTGAGACAACACTATAGTCAAACAGTGTTCTGCTTCACTTGCAACCTTGATCAACATCTTGGAACCATAAGAATTATGTCTAAAAATAAAAAGAAAATAACATGAATAATAGCAATGCAGATGCTTACTTTAGAAGCACCATCCTTGGTAACATTAAGCAATTTTTCAATTATAATCTCAATGGAATCCTCCATATAATCTTTCTGCAAAGAATAAAAATGAATTGTTATTTTCAACCAGAAAAAGTGGCAAAAGTCGGAGAACTGAACTGCAGGTTAGGATAAAGAAACAAGAGGGGCATTTCAACTAGGAAAAGAGACCTGATTCTTCAACAATTCAACAATCAGAGATAGATCAAGTTCCCTTATCGATGGCTCAGAATCATGTAGAACCTCAAGTGCTACTGTCAAAATCTGATTAAAGTACTGCAGAATAGCGAAGGTTACAGGTTGATTTACCATCCAAATCCATATGTTATCCATTTGTAAGTGAAAAGTGATAGTTAAATTAAAAATTGTATATTAAAAAATATTCCTGCCACCAATTAGATGTCCGAGAGGATGTGAATTTAGTGTCAGAGGAAACATTTATCACAAATATTACCTAAAGAAATTTGTCTTTAGAAATTGATCTGATTGTGTGATGTTAAGCAGCCAGGATTGATTTTAATTAGCAATAATACCTTGTTCCACATAGATTGATCATTAGCCACAGAAACTTCAACCAACTGTTGGAGTGCAACATGCTTGTTTTCTGCAGGGCTTCCATCATTTCCATTACAAATCTACCCAAAAGAGGAAATGCAATAAGAATCCTGAGGATTTAAGCTTTTATTCATGTTTGGTGCACTACCCAACAGAACAATAGACACATATAACTGCTTTATTACATACCACTTGAAGAATCTGAGGGATGCTATGTCCAGTTTCTGGAGCGGAATTCTCCTCCTGTGCTGCAAGTTTGATATGGCTAAGAGATTGATCAGGTGAAGGATCATTATCAGCTTCAACAACTGTTGTGATGCATTGATGGTCAGTGTGCCCATTGATGGCTTGATGAAGACTGAAGATGGGTTCTATGTCTGAACCATTATCCTTTGATTCAAGTTGTCTAGCACATGCTTCAATATTTTCACAAGTGGCGTTAGTCTCATATTTCAAATCCTTGGATTTAGAAGTAGGGATAGTGTTGTTAGAACCAGTTTCCACACTGTGATAAAGGTCTCTAGTATCATTAGATACTGCATGACCAACAGAACCTGTGGTATAAGTTGAATCCAGAAGAGTGTTCCACCTTCTGCCACCTTCACTATCAACTGAACCACCAGAATACCTTCCAAATAATTGGCTTTTCTTTGAAGCTCCAACAAATCCCTCTTCAGAAGATGTTCCAACAAAATCAGATGGATCATATGAGGACTTGGACCGCTGCTTCTCTTTCCTATTCTGAAGAAAGCTCATTAGATCCACTTCAATACGAGGTGTATTCTGTTTCAGGGCACGCCTCAAGGAGTTTTGTTCTTCAACCGATAAGCTAGTAATGAAATTCAAAACTGCTGTTGCATCGAAGTGTGTGTAAACTGATATAATACATGTAATAGCTACTTCCTTAAGTTTGGTATTCTTATCATGGACCAATGGTGTCAATTTGGCAAGCCATAACTTGAGGATGCCAGTGTTACCAGCCCCTTCGGAATTTGAAGGATGCTTATTGAAAGCACCAATTGCAAAGTTAATAACTTCCAACTTTGCCTTCGGAGAACGCTGTTCATCCAGTGAGCGAAGCAAAGCTGGTAAAAGGGAATCTATACCATAAATTTTGCTAACCATATTCAATGTAGTACAGCAGGGTTGCCTCACTAATTCCTTTGGATCAATTAAACGTGAGAACACATGGGGCAAAATCCTCTCCATGTAACTTTCAAATGGTTTTCTGCAAGCAGGGATAAGTTCTGCAAGTGTTGAGAGAGCTGCCTGCGCAACTTTATGATGTGGATCATCAAGGTGCTGGAAAAACAACTTCATCACCTTCTCAAAACTCTGAATTATTTCTTGAACACCTCTAGAGCCTTGTTGCAGCAAGGAGTGAAGATAATTGAAAGCAGCAACCCTGGCATTCCAATCTGAAGTTGAACTGAGACCCTCACTTAATGCATCACCAAGCGAAGTGGGACCATCTGCATAGCCTGGCATATCACCCAAAGGGAGCTGGCTATCATCAAGGCTCCTTCTGCTAGCGGACACACGTCCTGCCGTTTTTCTTGATAAAGGTCTTTGAAAAGTTGGAACATAATTACTGTGGGAATCCCTAAGGTTAGTGTCTCTATATGGTGTGTCTAAGTATTGCCTGTCAACATGTGGTTTCATATATCGCCTGGTCTCCCTAACATCAGCATTCGCTTCAAGAAAACCCCTTTCCTGTAGCTTTTCAGAAGCTCTTCTTGTCAAGTGGGATGAAACTGTTGATATTGGTTCATTTCCAACATTACTAAGGTATGAGAATTTAGCAGAATTTTTTGAAACCTGGATCTGTGAGAAGATGTCAGACAAACCCAACCCACCATTGCGATTATTGCCTTTCGAGATACCAGATGGTGTATCTATTAATAAGGCATTTGCAAGACTACTTGATGCGGGAACTGCAGGGGGGAAAGGTGGATCACGAGAAGATGGTGGGTCAACTCCTGCAGGCAATAATAATTGGGCAATAATAATTAATAAATACGGAGTACATAATTTTAAGCTCTTTATGAAGCTACATAGTTTCATTACTGAATATTGTTTGATCCCCTATCAATTTTTATACAATGGAACAATTACCTAGATCCAGACTTGATGAACGGATTTTCCCAGATGCATCCCGGCCTTTAAGCAAGCTTTCTATAGCAGAAACTTTCTGTTTGCTGGCATGCAGTACACTTTCCAAGCTACGTGTTGTGCCTGTAGCCACAGGTTTCATCTGTGACAGGAGTAATCCAGAGGAGAGAGGTGTCGCAGTGGGCAAACTCGCACTTCTATCCATTGCAACTATCGCAGAGGTCCCAGAACCAGGACGGTGTGACGAAGCAGATGTTTGTGGAGTGACTGTACGCAAACTCCTGTCACGAAAAGGAGAAGCATGTCGTTTATGTATACCACCATCTTCGTCATTTATAATCTGCAAAAGAATGAACTCTTAAATCTACAATGTCAACTTTTATGATTAATTTCATTGAAGCAAAAACTATTTATATTTGGTAGACAAAGGGAGTGGTTTCCAAATCATACCCTTTGGATGACAGGATCAAAGGATAAAAACAAGCGCCTGGAATGATCTGGCCAAGTTTTTGCAAACATTCTGTATAAAGTTCTTGCGGTTGATCGTACCTGACGAGTCAGAGAAGTCAGCTATAAAGGCATAGCCAACAAAATGTGCTAGTTGGCTGATCCCAACAATGAGTCAATCATTTAATAACCCCATATATGTACAAATAAAACAAGAAAAATAAATAATGCAAAGGTTATGAATGGTCAATAACATGCACGCAGCATACATACATAAATACACATTATTGTGTGTGCACAAGTACATATACCTCACTCATTGCATCTGCAACACAACATCTTATAAGGTCCTCATAGAGATCAGCTAAGCGTTGTATCTCAGGTGCATCAGGCCAATGCTCTAGTATTAGAAGTGCATAGCTGCAGCATCTGTTAAAGAAAAAATACTAAAACATGTTGATATTAAATGAAGGGGGAATAGGAGTGCATATATTTGAGAGGAAGAAATAAACCTAGCACGAAGAACAGCATTACGATCATTCTTTGCACACTCTGCTATACGAGGAAGTACCCGAGCAACTTTACAGTTACGCAGCATCTAAATGCAAAACACCCATGTCTGGTTGATTAATATATTGTTGTAGGGAAAAATGAAATAAAGTATGAGTAAGACACAAAGCATTACTGTCTTGATGCAGTTATCAGCTGATTCAGCAATAACAAGTACAGTTATCACAACAAGCTTGAAAAGCACCTGATTTTTAAATGGCAAAGACAGAAAAAGATTATGAGTGAGAAGTTGAGTACTAAAGTACCAATATAAGCAACCCATGATTAGTCTCACTCTCACCGGAATGAACATCTCAGCACATGGCTCAAAATCTCCCAGAAGCTCTTTAGATAGAAAGTTTAACAAATGGCATGCCTAGCAACACAACAATGAAGAGCACCATATATGCACATAAGAAGAGAAACTTGATCAGAACACAGCATGTAAGTTGCATGGCACAAGATAAGCAAGGACTTTGCATTTGAATACAATTAATTTTTACTCTACTTAAACCAGATCTCATGCACCGATGCAGGCAATAAACAATTCATGTAAACTGTCACCAAGAGACTATACACACCAACTGGTAAACTGTCATTATCAGAAAGTTTCACGGCAAACAAACAATAGTTCCATATACAAATAAAATGACAGGATCCAGCTCAGGGTCATTAATTCTGTCAGTTTCAGGTTCTTCATTACATACAAAATTTTAAATAAATAAATAAATCTGCCTGAATCTAAAATTGAATCTACAGCTTTTGGAAGGAGCCTCAGACAGCATACCAGAATCCAAAGGTCATGGAGTTAGATGAAGCAAATTTTAGGAACATAACTTTGAAGCACCAAAAGATTATTTGCTCTTATGTTAGTAACCTGTTTTACTATGCTGGATCTCCGATCAGATAACTGTGTGCTCAGAGGGCCAACAAGTTGCTTCAAAAGTCCAAGAAAGCATGCGTAATCGGCAGCACCTGGTAGAACAAAAATGATTATTAAACATGCATTTGTAACCCCTCCATATAAAATATAAGAACAAACATGCCATTTCAGAAAGGGGATCATCGACTGACTCATCATCATCCAGCTTCTTATTTCTTTGTTTGGAAGCATCTGAACCTTTTGCTTGGGTGGGAGCAGAAAGGCATGTCAAAATCAATTAACCCATCATTTCCAATGATGGCTGGTACAGATTTCATAACTCAAACTATGGAAAGTGAGGTTTTTCTCATAGCTCAACTGCCCCCCTCCCCCCAAAATCACGGCAACACTTTAGTTTACTCACACACAAAAGACCTATTTGCAGAAAAACTATACAGACTACACATCTTAAAAGCCCGATCTGTATCTAACCCCTTTGCACCAAAGAAATTACAGAAAACTTAAACATTTGATTCAACAATTAGCATTATTTCAAACTTGGATTATATTGGGGGTCAGGAGCAGTGCAGTAGTTGACCAACCTCCAGTTACAAGTCCTTCTATTCTCTGCATGGCACCAATACGGATAGACCAATCCTTCTCTGGTGAAAGGGTGGAGGTAATCTTCTCAAATTCCTTTATGAGTTCCTTTTCAGAGTATACTTTGATTGGGTCAACAGGTTTTTCAGTCATATCACCATCTCCTGTTCAAAAACAGAATGCATAACTTAGAAATGGTGGTTCCTCAATTCTTTTACCCCTTACTTTTGACAGCTTGAGTAGCTAGATCCATAAACCCTTCAATTAGTTAGACCACATCATGGAATACATTGCAGCTCAACAATCAACAACCTAGGATAGTATCAGGCCACTTTTACAGGAACATAATGCCAACAGAAGAATGTACTAACCTCCAAAAAGAGATGCATCCCGTGTTGAATTCTTGGCCTTAGGACTGCTTTTCTTGGGATTATGGTTCAGAGATCCTATATCATGGGCAGGATAGTTACTAGTGCGTCCATTGGCAGTTTTAGTTTTGGGCTCAATCCTCTCTAGTCTTGCATAAATATCTTTTAACTGCCGTCAGTTCACACATTAGAGCGAATCTTCAGCAGAAATCTTATTTGTTGTGCCACAATTTAATTCAGCTTGGTAAATATGTCCATTGAAAAAAGCAAGAAGGTAGCCATCTATGGCCCATGGACCTACCATCATTAGAGGAAGATCATGACGCTGAAGTTCATCACGAAACTGAGGTCCAACATTTTTATGCATTTCCTAAATTATTAAAAAAAAAAAAAAAAAAAAAAAAAAAGGGAAAGAAAAGAGATGAGTTGTATAGTTCTAAAAGCAAGGGTAACTTGTCAACAAAGTGCCGATTAATAAAACATTAGCAGCTTTGCATTTCAGCAGTTACCAAATAATGTTACAAGAACTCAATATTCAGTTAAAACATCCAGTTATAATCCCAAAGTAAGAGTGAATATTTCACTTTTGTAAAGGATATGGCATGTCAGTTGGTCACATCCACTACCATATTAACAGATAAAAGAGACAGCTAAAAAAATTGTGCTACTGACCTCAATACACACTAAAGCAGCTTCTGTGACACCAGGGTTTGGGTCATTTAAGAGTTGCAAAATCTGATAATAGACCAAGTAAAAAGTAGTTGATGAATCTAGATCTCAAAAGATTTAAATACCTAAAGACGCAAAAAAAAAAAAAAAAAAAAAAAAAAAAAAAAAAAAAAAAAAAGATGTATTCTATTAACATACAAAAGGAAGAATAGCCCTTTGAAGGGGCAGCTCTGTGGATGCAAAAAGACCAATTGCCGATGTAACAGTACGAGCAAATTCTTCCCGAATTTTAAAGCTTTTGTGTGTCCAAGCATAAGACCCTGCCCTCTCAACAATAATTGTCGGTGAGGAGACCTGTAGTTCATAGAATAAATATTGAGAATTGGTCCTAAAAGATCTAGAATCACTAATTAAACAATAAATGAATAAGGAATAGCAGAAAAAACAATTATTAATAAATGGTGTAGAAGTTCTGCTGAGTGAAGACTTAAGCTAATCCTTAACAAAGATCAACACTTAGTTCTATCTTATGAATAGAATAATAAAAATTTATCCTGAAATAAATCCTAACGGTAAACTAGCTTGAACTGATAATAATAAATACTAAGAGAGTTAGAGAAAGCAATAACATAGCAAGCATTACGGTAAGCATAATGCTGAGAGATTGACATCATAATTAATTAAACCATTAAGAGTGCTGTTCAGCAACATGATAGTATGTTTAGTCAGATAAGTATGAGCATGGAGTCATGGACTCATGGAGCTTTATATAGCAGTCCAGGACTCCAGGTAAAGATAGAAGCAATTTGGAAGCAGATTTAAGCAATAAAGTTCTGTTAGTGTGGCAGTCATTTGAGTGAAGTAAAGTTGATATCAGAAAGCTGAAATCCAGTGACAAATAATTCCATCACATCTTTCAATAGATCTCAGCACCTTCACACCCATAATGAAGATACAATTTCATTTCTTTTTTTTTCTAGATTTTTCCTTGCAAATATAGGATACAACTCAAAATTGAAGGTTCAAGGTTGAACTTTACACTTTATCTATCTTACACTAACATTCCAGTTAAAAGGCAAACATGTTATCAGGTGTAGTTCCAAGCATTAAGCCACCAAGGTGGCCAAGATGTTCCCTCATAATGTTGGCTCAACTACCTCTGGATTCAAAGTTCTAAAATCAGAACAGTTCTCAAGTTTCCACTAAATCATAGTATGGGAATCCAATTGCATTGAAACAAATATCATATGCAGATATTTTGTGCACAACAATCAATATCGCCCCCACCGCAGATATGAATTTCCAACCACCATTTCAATCACCAACAAAATGCAAACAAAACCAACGCATCTTAAGCCAAACAACTGCAACGAAATCCAAGGAAACAGAGACAATTAAGTGCATAATGAGAATGTACGCGCACCTCCATTAGAGTGAGCAGCAGCCGCCTGGCCGCCTCCCGAACAGGCTGTTTAGCATCTCCCAACTTCTCGACCACCGCAGGCAGAAGCGCATTGAAGTGGAGCTTCAACTGCTCGACGGAGAGGACGGCGGCGGAGGCGAGCGCTTGGAGAGCTCCCTGAGAAACCCTAAAGTTACTGTCCTTGAGAAGATCCAAGCAAACATCCATCAACACCGTGACCTCTGAAGACGAGAGGCTCTTCGTGGAAACTTCTAGATGCTGGTGGAGGCGCTCCACGCCCGCCATCCTCTCCTTGGCATCCTTTGCGCGCGTCAACTCCAATGCCTCCTCCATGGACGGCGGCACGATAACTTCTTCCGGCTCTCAGATCCACGGCGAGCGAAAATTGTTGGTGGGAAATTTGGTAGATTAGTGACAGCGAAGAGTGCGATTGCCTGAATTTTGAAGAAAGATTAAACACTAAGATAATGACGACATCAGAGGAGAAAGAGAATGCGAGTGACTAACCGGCAACCGGAAATGAATAGTGCTATATCGACGGAGGAGAGGATATAGCATTGGGTTTGCCTTAATTATTTAAAAATTTAATTTTGTTTTTAAAATATAAATTCTTTCTAAATACAAAGGAAGGAGGACACCATATACCTCTCATATAATGAAGTAAACCGAATTCTAGTGGACCACAAGTTACTTGGTAAATATAAATTCTTTATGCCTCAATAATTGACAACTTAAATCTTCAGCCACTATTTTGAGATTGTGCATTGTGAATTGAATAAATCTCGTCTTGTAACCCTAGTTGATAAAGTATCACAATAAGGTAAACTAACTTATGTTGCTTTGAAGTCAATAGAATACTCCGGTGAAAAATCGAACGTGTAACCTTATTTGCACTTTTAACAACTCTACACCAATTGTTATGTTTTCTTCAATCATGACGCAATATATAACTCACGATAAAATATGAATGGTATTTAAAAAAAAATATTATTATTAATTTTTTTTAATCACAAACACTTCAAATGTTACACAACTCACCTAGTTAGACGGGGTAGAAGATACTATTGGTACAAGTTATAGAATGGCTAAAAGAGCATTTGAAGAACCTACCACCCTTGCATATTCCATATGCTCATGGACAAATAATTATAACAAATTAAATTGGTTTATATTCGAGAGCAATACCTATTCAAGAATTTAATGAAAAATTATTCAACGAATATGAACAGCACTGACATTTTACTTGTAATAAAACTATTGCAATAATAAAATTATTACAAATAAGATGGGAATCGAATAGTTTGATTCATCTTATTGGTCACCATTTCATCATAGAATTGGATGTCTTTCATTTCTATCGAATTTCATATCAATTCTTTTAAAATAAAGAATGGTACTTGAATTAGGGTTAAAATTTCATATGTTAGTTATTGTTATGGGTTAAGGTATTAGTTTGAATGGCTATCATTAGTGTTCGTATTGAAATGCCAATAGTGGTAAAAAGCTATTCAAATGCTATTGATTATGTCCAAAGAGAGCCGATAAGAGTTTAAAGTAAAAACTATTCAAAGTAAGAGTTGTCAGTTTGTCAAAATATGAGGGATGTTGGCTCTCCAAATTTGGTTGAAGGTTTTATAAATGACTAGTATTTGCGCCCGTGCGATGCACGAAATAGATTTGTTGTAATATATTAAGAATATTTGGATCGATATATAATTATTTAAATTAGAACATCAAATATTATATAGTGCGATGCACGGAATGTATTCGTTATAATATATGAATTGTAATTTGCTTCATATTCGATAGTGTAAATTTTAACGTTAAATTAAGGTTTGTATGAATGTTTCAAAATTGAATTAATTGGTCTCATTATCTTTATGTGTAGTAATTTAGCTATAGAAATTTTTGTAACGGAATATATACGTAATATGTAACAATTTTGTTATATTTTTGCAAGAAGAATACATAATATAACTGTTTTGAATTAGACATTGTTGAAAACCTCTTTGTAGACGACATTAGTACGTAGTAGTAATAGAAGTTTGTCCATCATCGTCTAGAGCTAAAACCTTTAGGCCATAAGGATGAGTGACTCGGGAAAAAGCCACGTACAATTGACCATGATTAAAGACTGATTTTTTCAACAATAAGCCAACGTGAGTTAGTGTTTGACCCTGACTTTTGTTGATAGTCATTGCATATGCTAGCATCAACGGGAATTGTTTACGCTGGAACTTGAACGGCAATCTCGTATCAGAAGGGGTGAGAGACATTCGTTGTATAAGAACTTTGTTTCCTTGTTGCGTTCCATTAACTATTCTTGCTTCGACAATATGATCCGCCAATCTTGCAACGATGAGGCGTGTACCGTTGTAAAGACCAAGAGAGTGGTCTATGTTTCGCAGTAACATAATAGGTGCACCAACCTTTATTGCCAATGAATGATTAGGAAGTCCAGACAATCTCAATCTATTTAAAAATTCAGGAGTGTGTACTTGTGAGAGATTATCACCATCTATATGATTCTGCCTTACACAAAGAGTCACAGTTTAAATACATTCGACCTTTTGCAGTGTTCATGTCACACATATACTGATTAATTTGATCAACACCATCTAAAGTCGGTGAGATGATCGCTTGTCCTTCTAGGTGCGACTCTTCTAGCATTCTATACTTCTCACAATTACAATGGTTTAATTATTCACATAATTTGTTAACTATTTTTCATTTTCAAGTACATATTGACTTTAATTTGGGGTAACAATTCATTAGATATATTAGTTAATTTCCATATAAAATTTTGTTACCGATTAAGCTTTATTAATTTTTTTACGAATTAATTAATATTCTTTATTAGTTTAGGCGGAAAATTTGAAGAGGATAATTTGTTGTTTATTTATAGTATAGATTGGTGTAAATAATAATTAATAAATTATTATTTTCTTATAAAATTACGCAAAATTTCAAAAGAGTTTTCCCATTTATTACGCAAAATTTGTTTCCATTATTCTCACAATTATTATGGTTACTTATTCTTAGAATTTGGTAACCATTTTCCATTTTAAGTACATATTTTGGGATGGCAACGGGGCGAGGCGGGCGGGGAGTATACTCCTCATCCCCGTCCCTGCGACCCCGTTCCCCTTCCCATCCCGCCCCCGTTCCCGGTGGGGAATTGAAAATATTCGTCTCCGCGAAGAATTAGGTGGGGACGGGGATTCTCCATTCTCCGTCAATTCCTAGTCAAAATGTTAAATAATTCAAAATTTTAATAATAAAAAATTTAAAATATAAGTCATAGTTTTAAAAATTAAAATACTAACTCTACGTGTGTGTGTGTAGTCGAGTTCAGGTGCGGCGGGGTCTTCCCGTGCGGCAGTGCAGCTTCACAAATAGTAACGAAAATATACAACATCAATGTTAGGAAATGCACCACAAAACACACAGAAATTAGGTTCGCATCACCAAAAAACACACCATTAGGTGTGAGTAAAAGCACCATACAGTATTTGAAAATACACCATTAGGGATTGTGAGTTATATAGTGTATTTTTTTATTTCATTATTGTGTGTTTCCCTTACACTGTTGGTGCCTTTTGTTAACACTGTTGGTGTATTCTGAAACTATGCCACACCCCTGCACGGGAAGACCCCGCCACACCTGAAGCACACAGAGTCAATTATTAATAATCATTTACCATTTCTAAATGTATATGTTGCTTTCAAAAAAAAAATGTATATGTTTAATTTTTTTAAATTAAAGTTCGCGTCTTGACCTGCTTCGATTTGAAATTTGATTTTGCTCGATTTGAAGATAAAAGGTAAAAAAAATCATCAATTTCACTATATAGATCTATACAGTGAAATTGATGATTTTTTATTTTTTATTTTACCTTTTATCTCTTTATTACTTTTTTTTCGAATTAATTAATATTCTTATTAGCCTAATGTAGCACACAATTAGGCTAATTTTCTTAGTGGATGCGTTGTTGACTCTGTGTGCTTCATTAGGTTGAGAAAGTATTAATAATCATTTTCTTTTTTAATTAGCCTAATTTTCATGTCATTTGTATTCTCAATCAAATATTTTTTTTAATACATATCAATTAATTTATACTATAATTATTAATATAATTGTCGTTATATATTTAGAAGGGTTCCATGTCATTTTTAATCAAGTATTAATTATCATTTTTTTTTCAATTGGCCTAATATGCATGTCATTTTTTATTCTCAGACAATAATTTTTTTAATACTATTAATTAGTTAATTAATAATAATAATTTTTTAATATTTCCAATAAGTTTTTAATAACATATAGTTTTTCGAATTTACATATACTATAGTTAATCCATTTCCTTTTTGACATGGTTAATATGAGGATCCTTTTTTCTTAAAATATTATACCACAATTTATACATTTCGTGCTATCTTCAATCTCAGTCAAGTATTTTCCCAATTAACAAATTCTTTTTCCAGTTTAGTTATATTATTGTTTGGACGGTCTGACCATTTTCTTTTTCATTTGAGTCAATTTGAGATCATTTTTAATATTTAATCAAGTATTAATAATCATTTCATTTTTCAATTGGTCTAATTTTCATGTCATTTTTATTCTCAGTCAAATATTTTTTTATTACATATCAATTAATTTATATTATAATTATTAATATAATTACCGATATATATTCAGAATTTATATATTCAATGTCATTTTTAATCAAATATTAATTATCGTTTCCTTTTTCAATTGGTATAATTTGCATGCCATTTTTATTCTCAATCAATGATTTTTTTAATACATATTAATTAGTTAATTATTAATAACTTATATATATATATATATATATATATATATATATATATATATATATATATATATATATATATATTATTTCCAGTAATATATTCTGTGTCATTTTTAATCAAGTATTAATTATCATTTACTTTTAAATTTGATCTACTTTTTATACCATTTTTATTCTCAGTCAATGATTCTTTTTAATACATATTAATTAGTTAATTATTAATAACAATTTTTTTAATATTTCTATGTTGAAGTGATTTTATAATACTATCAACTATTAGTGTAAATAAGTTTCATGTGTAAATACGATATGTAACCTTTATGCATTTTAAAGCTTTGTTATGTAATAACTATATAGGAAACATTGAGATATTACAATTGAAAAAACACATACTATTATTTTATTGATTTTCAAAAACATACTATCAATTAAATAAGATTTGATATTTAAAATGAATAATTAGCTAAAATAATAAACTTGTAATACACCGTATTAAAATAAAAAATTATTACAAACATCTTAGTAAACTACATTAGTAGTTAAACTACAAAAGAAAATATATATTCTCATTTATCAGTAATTCCGATTACACCAAGACTAATTAATGTATGTATATATTAATTGCGCAAGTTAGGTGTTGCCACATCCTTTACTAACATCCATGTTAATTTGTCCAATGTCTAAACTCATGACTCATCTGTATAATCTTCATCAC